ATTAGTGCCTCAGACAGGCAGACTACACAGAAACTTGACTTCTTAGTAAAGGTTTTCATGAAAATATACATGCAGGATGGGACTGTCATGTGACCAAAGAGTCACATGATATTATGAAAGCTTTCTGGACACGTTTCCGTGGCAGTGAAGTTTGTGAAGTAGTACAGTGTAAATATTTGGCCATTTCCTTTGATTCAAGACTTCCTGACCACTGCTCAGAAATGTGCGTTTGTGTTTATACCAAAACACCCCAACAGAAAAAAAAGTCCGCTGTTTATGAAACTAACTGTAACCAAAAACTGTGGGAAATATATTAATATCCTATAAATTAAATATCCAAGCCAAGTGTTCAGGAACAAACGTATCTTTATCTCCATCTAGTGGTTGTTTGGTGAGATTGCAACTGTCATGAAGAATCAAATCCTTGATGTTTTGAGGGAAAGAAACAAGACGATTGTTATTATTTTTTTCATATTTTTATATACTTTTCATTACATTTTATATGCACATATTTTCAGGCAGTGCATGGTTATAGTACTTCCCCATAGATATACTGTATGCAACACACACATTTGACACAAACTTGACCACAATGACATCGGTACACGACCAGAGGAAGAGGAATTCTTCTTCATCACCATCAGTCTTTAGTGTCATTCGGTGTCTGTATATAATATTCATCTCCTACAAACCCACTTCAGAAGTTTGTTCACTCACACGGTCCAAAAATATCAGTCCATTCGCTCCTGACCCATGAGAAGGGACCTTTGGCAGTTTTTAACAGTATTGGCCAGTGTTTAATAGTTTCTCTTCTCTCCAGAAAACACTCCCAGGCACTCAGAGGAAAGCCAGAACTACCATTAGCATAGAAAAGCATTATTGCTCCCGGCTGTGAATTAGAAACAAAGGATTTAAAATGTCACATTCTTTCTCTGTGTCTTCAGAAACACTTCCATCATGTGACTGCTATGAGAGTTCTTTTAGAATGTTGCTACATGGTTGCTAGGGTGTTCTGCATGGTTGTTAGGTGATTACATACTGGCTTTGTGAAGTCTCTGTGGTATTTCTTTTTGCCAATGATGCTTGCTTGTCTCAACCCCTATTAAAATGCCTATGGACAAGATATATGACCAATATCCAAAAGTGAATCATTCAGACGAGTCACATATGGTATTTTATCAATAAGGTTCACCCCATTCACACCAAGAATGATAACTATTTCATAAAGATATCATTGACAATAGTTCTAAAAGAATAGCAGATTCCTACAGAAGCTTGTTTCCGCCACAGAATAAAACTATTTAAAATACTTTCTTTTCTCAGAATTGCATGATATAAAGTCGTAATTGCGAGTTATAAATATATATTTTTTCATGCAATTGTTTACATCTTGCAATTTGACTTTCTCTTTCAATTGTGATTTTTTTTTTTTATTTCGTAATTCTGACTTTTTTTCTTAGATTTGTGACTATTTATTTCTCAAATCTGACTTTTTTCTTGCAATTGCGTCTTTTTATCTCGCAATTATGACTTTCTTAAAATTGCTAATTTTTATCACACAATGCTGTTTTTTTCTCGCAATTGCAACATTTTATCACGCAATTCTGACTTATTTCTCGCAATTGCGACTTTTTATCTCGCAATTCTGACTTCTCGCAATTGCGATTTTTTTTATCACACAATTCTGACTTTTTATCTCGCAATTCTGACTTTTTATCTCGCAATTCTGACTTTTTATCACGCAATTCTGACTTTTCTCACAATTGCGACTTTTTATCACGCAATTCTGACTTTTCTCACAATTGCGACTTTTTATCTCACAATTCTGACTTTTTTCCCGCAATTGCAACTTTTTATCACACAATTTTTACTTTTTTCTTGCAATACCAATTTTTTAATGACACAATTCTGATTTTCTCGTAATTGCAACATTTTATCTCGCAATTCTGACTTTTTTCTTGCAATTGCGACTATCACACAATTCTGATCTTTTTTCTTGCAATTGCAATTTTTGAATCACACAATTCTGACTTTTCTTGCAATTACATTTTATCTCGCAATTCTGACTTTTTTCTCACAATTGAAAAATTTTATCTCACAATTCTGACTTTTTTCTCACAATTGCAAAATTTTTATCTCGCAATTCTGACTTTTTTCTCACAATTGCAAAATTTTTATCTCGCAATTCTGACTTTTTTCTCACAATTGCAAAATTTTATCTCGCAATTCTGACTTTTTCTTGCAATTGCAACATTTAATCTCACAATTCTGACTTTATTTCTCGCATTCACGAGTTTATATCACAAAATTCATAGAAAAAAGACAGAATTGCAAGATGTAAACTCGCAAATTCAAAGAAAAAGTAAGAATTGCGATATAAAAAGTCGCAATTACCCTTTTTATTCATTTAGTGGCAGAAACAAGCTTCCATACAAGCCACTACTATAACAATGAATAATTTTTCTCCAGCTGATGAACATTAACATCCAATCAGAATCCATCCTGTATTTAAAGCAGCAGACGTCAAAATCGCAGCGTACGGTTAGAATAAACACTCGTTATCATCCACTAGTGTGGACGCTAATATGGTTATCTTTATAGTTATCGTTCTTGGGGTGAATTGCCCTTTAGGTAGCACAGCCTCAGCAAATGTACAGGCAAGTTTTTGTCAAAAACATTGTTTTCTAATTCACAGGAGTGGCTGCAATAAAATTTATATATTTTCTGCACTGCATTACAATGTATTTGTATATGCACGTAACATTTTAATAAATATTTTGAGCTTGGTGCAACTTAAGCTTTATGAACAACATCTGTCAGAACAAATCATTTTTGCATGTACAGTCAGAGGTGTAAAGTCCAGGTTCAGAAAGTTAAAATCCTCCACAGTATTTTGTTTTAATCACCTGGATTTGCCAATTAGCAGTTTTTCAGCCCGAACAAAGAAGTAATTAGTGAACTGGTGGGATACACATATGGCAGGACCTTTACTTTCTGAACCTGGACTTTACACCTCTGTGTACAGTAATGCACTTTCAGTGGAAATCAATGCGGCACTGCACTGGGATAAATGGATAAAACGTACACCATTTTGAATGTACAGTATAGCCATCACACGGTACATGTTAATTACTGTTATTTCCATTATTTAGTCCTATTATGACCATGAAAAATCCAGTAACACAGTAAGTGCATCACTGTAAATGAAATTTAAGGACGAGTGAAAATTATTGTATATGCTAAACGACAGCTGGCCACAGATAGAAATCAGATGCTTGAACTTTCAATCTGGTAACACTGAAATTGAGCAGATGTTAAACACTGGCATCATTCACGTCTATAATATCTCCAATTCTTCCATCAATCACACAGTAATCATATAGCAGACTGTAAGGTTTCTTCTCAGCACATCAAAAAAGGTGTAGACTCCCTTCCCTTCAGTTGAATTACAGTTATTGTAATTTATTGTTGTAATGTGTAGACGTGTTGTTAAATCGGGAATTTAGAGTTAGACTACTTTTCAAAAGTTTGAGGGTCAGAAAGATTTTTTTTTTTCATTAAGGCTGCATTTATTTGATCAAAAATACAGTGATATTGTGAAATATTATTAGAATTCAAAAAGACGGTTTTCTATGTGAATATATTTTCACTTGATATTTCCAGCATCATTACTCCAGTCTTCAGTGTCACACGATCCTTCAGAAATCACTCCAATATGATGATTTGCCGCTCAATGAAACATTTCTGATTATTATAAATGGTTCGTATTTTTCGGATTCTTTCATAAAAAAAGAACAGCATTTATTTGAAATAGAAATCTTTTGTAACATTTCACATCCTTACTGTTAATTTTGATCCATTTAATGCATCCTTGCTGAAAAGTATTATTAATAATAATAATAATAAAACTTATTGACACCAAACCTTTGCACAATAGTGCACAATAAGTTTCATATCAGCTCCTTATCTGTGCCCAATTAATTATTAATATAATAAATATCTAAAAGTGTGGATTGAACATTGTTAAAATGATAAGTGGACATTTTTTTTTAATTACATAAATACCTGAAAATGTGTCCACCAATTCATCCGCTGTGATACAGGGATGTTTGGTTGCATAAACGCTCAGAGCCGGCACACATCTCATGACGTCTCAATGATCGGAGCATCACACGGACCAGACCTTCTCCTCCTAATCCAGTTTGCTCTTGACTACTGTTGCCACGGTAACCGACCGGAGGCGTGCAGAAGCCTCCCGTTATTCCTTGCATAGACAGACAGGTCTGTCCTATTTAGCAAATCACATTGCACATGATTGAATCGACCTGATGATCAGATTCTAGATTTTCGTGCAATTCGGTGCAAAAGTGACACTATAGCTTATATCCTGTTTTTCCTCAGCACCATCATGTCATATTGTGGCCAGCAGCATCATTATAACTCTCTCTCACCGTGTATCTGCTCTAATGCCCGACTTTCTAGTTGCTAAGAGACCAACAAGTGCCAACTGGCATGAAATCTCCCATTGCGACGGTCGATTTCCATCTGATGTTTTTGCTTGTCCTTCATGTGAACCAACATCTGTTGCTTTGTTGATAAATTCGTACAACTTGTTTCAAGTGAAATAATGTGTAGCTAGCATGAGTTCGTTTTATCTTTCAAGGAGTGTTTTAACAGAATTCAGTATTTTATACGTCTGCACTCGCTCTTAAACTCCAAGCGATGGATTTGCTTTATAAGGAAGACGTGTTAAAATGTGTTGATTTCAGTATTAGTACTTGTATATCGCATAATATGAACGCGGACTCTGTACAATTGTCCTTTAAAGTCAACATGAAAGCGACCCTTTTATTATAAAACACTTGTGCACAATTTGTGCATGTTATTTTAAAGCAAAATCTGGTCGTATGACATATGAAACACAAATATATGTATTAATATTGAAGTGAAATGGGTTGCAAACAGGGCTTGTCACACATACTGTCACTTAAAAACAACTGTGTTTACGTGAATACTCGGCATCATTTTGTGTGTATTTGACTGTTTAAGTGCAATAAGCAACAAAATATAACTCAATTTAGTACTTTAGAAGTATATTTTTTAATATTATGTCATAATTTGGCTGCAGGAAAATTAGGCTGCTGTCACTTTAAGACCTGACACACAAATTCATTACACATACTGTCACTTAAAAACAAACTAACTGTGTTTACGTGAATACTCGCCAAGACGGGCATCATTTTGTGTGTATTTGACTGTTTAAGTGCAATAAGCAACGAAACATAACTCAATTTAGTACTTTAGAAGTATATTTTTAATATTATCTCATAATTTGGCTGCAGGAATATTAGGCTGCTGTCACTTTAAAACCTGACACACAAATCCATTACACATACTGTCACTTAAAAACAAACTAACTGTGTTTACGTGAATACTCGCCAAGACGGGCATCATTTTGTGTGTATTTGACTGTTTAAGTGCAATAAGCAACAAAATATAACTCAATTTAGTACTTTATAAGTATATTTTTAGTATTATCTCACAATTTGGCTGCAGGAATATTAGGCTGCTGTCACTTTAAGACCTGACGCACATATCCATTACACATACGTTTTTTCTCTCAACTGTTACATTCACGTAAACATAATTGACTGTGTTTACATGAAGACTGGCATTTTGACATTATTTTGTGTGTGTTTGACTATTTAAGTGCAATAAGTAACGAAATATAACTCAATTTAGTCCTGAGAGGCGTCTTTATGTGCCGGACTTTGGGGGTTTGCGCACAAAATCTGCTAGAATATGTAAAATTATACACAATCGCACAGGGAAATTTAAGCCTTATAACAGCAACAATATTCACCCGGAGCAAATTAATCGGGTGAGTGAGGAGACGCGGGGTTGTGTGTCACTCGCCGTCTTAGATATACGAGAGAAAGCGCAGCTAGCATTGGAAGCATTTCAGATATTTCAGTACGGATATGTATCGAAAAATCAATGTTTGACAACACTACATTGCACTTACAGTAGTTTATCATTTCAGATGCCTTTTAATAAGACTACTGAAATTGAAAAATGTATATATTATATATAATATTCAACCCGCCAAAGTGTCTAATAGAACGAAGGGACTGCGTTACACGCCACTGATGCAAACAACCGCATTTGTTCATGTCAAATTGTCAAGCCCAGGTTGCAAACGTTTCATGTTGACTTTAAACACTCTCTTGATTTGGATTGCAATAGTTTTTTCTCATAGTTCAGTCCCACCTGGACAACAACGCTTGAACACACTTTGATTTCGGACATCCAGTCCTTTTGTTTAGACAGCACAAGAAGGAAAGATATTGTCCAAAGGTAGCAGAGAGACACAAAGGCATCGTGATGTCATAAACCACCATCATTGGTTTAAATCAGCTGCTTCTTTTTTCCCCCTCATTCTCACCGAGAGTCTCTTTGAACATGTGATTCTTTCTCACCCCCGTCTCGACACCCGCTAGGACCATCTGACCAAAAATCAGCTCTCAGCCAAGGTGACGGTTTGAGCCTGCCATCAACAGCCTTCTGATTGCTTTACCCCAAAAACGTCAATCATCAGGTTACTTGTTAAGGGGCTTGTTGACCTTGGGAGTCCCTGTGATGTTGCCGTTGGCGACACTGAGCGTCTGGACGGGCGTGGCGTTGTTGGCTGCTGTCTGGTCGGCTGTTACCTTGGTAACCGTGTTCTTTTTGGAATTGTCAGGTTCCCAGAGGAAGAACTCATGCAAGAGAGTGTTGACCGTTTCTGGGCATTCCATCATCACCATGTGACTGCCTTCCTCGATCACTTTCAGGAATGCAAACAAGAGGATCTGAAATAAATAAATAAATATTTATTTTCTAAAGTATTATATTATGTGTTTATTATAGTGCAGAATATTATATTACAGGATGTATTTTTGAAACATTTACATACCTTACAAAAATATATTTTTATAATCGATTTATATAGATGTTATTTTAATGTAATAAAGAAATAAAAAAAATCTATATTATATTTAAAAATAAATAAACGCGCATGCGTACACACACAAACATATATATAGACATGTATTTGTAAATGTTTATGTAAATAATGCATTTATAAAATTAACATTTTAATGTATATGTATATAGAATTCTAATTTCTAATGAATAAATAATACAATTAAATAATAGTATAATAATTTATTACAATAAAAAACGAAATAATGTAAATTATATAAATAGTAAAATATTTTTTAAATGTATTTTGTCAATTTTATTTGAGTATAATAAAGACATTTAAAAATAAATATCTGCTATTAAATTTGTTTAAAAATAAATACACACATTATATATATATATATATGTATATAAATATATAATAGATATGTGTTTTTAAATGTGTATGTAAATAATGTATAATGCGTATCTTATTTCTAATAATGAATAAAGATGGCTTTTCCATCTGAAGTCTTCATATATACATACATATACTGTATATTAGTTACATATAAACTATCAAAAATATTTAAATTATATATAATATCAATTATTAAACTAATGTTAATCTTGTTATTTTTTTTGTCTTATGCTTTGAGCTAATTTTCTTCTTTTTTTTTTCATTTGCGTCCCTGCAGGAAGTCCTAACTGACGTCAGCAGAGTTCAGTGAGCAGCACAATGAGACGCCATTGTTTGATTCAGAGCACATCTGCATGAGGACACGTGTAACGCTCCTCTACTCATGAACAGCCCATTACAGCACAGAGACACTCTTGTGTTGAAGAGTCATGAGTGAGCCAACATCACCCCTCCAGAGGACACACACGGGCTGCAAGCAAAGGCTAAGTCACACACTATTCATCCTCCAGAGAATGCAAGATTATATTTGTGTGAGTCTCAAAAAAAAAAAAAAATGTTATGATAATATTTTACCACAAAATCAAAAATACAGGTTATAGAGTCACAGTAGGAATCACTGTGATTATTTATACACACCAAGTGTCAGCATTAGTGTTCAGCTTTAATGATGCAAAAACACACCTAGCTGTGCGATTGACTGTACAAATAGAGTCAACAAGAAATCAGGGGGCAGTTGCATAAACATAGCCATTATGTTAAGAAATAGAGTGTAACTGGATCCAGAAATATATTTCATTTTTCCCATAGGGAGGCAAGTTTAGTTAGATAGGTAATCTTCATTAAATATTGCTGTGATTTATAATTAAAAGAAAATAGGAAAATATCTAATTTTACATTTGAATTTGAGTTTCTTTATTTAAAGGGACAATGCACATTAATTAACATGAGAACAAGGTCCAACATGTAAATGTGCCAGATTTAGCCATACAGGCTAATTTTCATCTGCAGTCCCTAGCAGGTTAAAATTTAAAACAATAGCTATACAATAAAAATAAAAACATGATAAATACAAACACATTATTCTGTATGGCAACCAGGGCCTGAAATTAACACCCGACCACCTGCCAAATGCGGGTGAATTTTTCTATTGGCGGGTAACACTGTCAATCTACCTGCCACATTGGCAGGTAGGTAGCCAATGAGAATTGAGTGATTCATTAGGATTTTTACATTTCAACTAAGTCCGCCATTGCAATTGACTTTAACTAAAATGTGGCGGCACATTACTGAGGTAAAGAGGCCAGCTGAAACAAACAGCCAACAAAACGATGAGGATGAGAAAAAGAAAAGTAAAAGAAGACATTTTAATATAAAGTGGACAATTGGCGGCAATGGCAAGGTTCGTGAGCGGCTGATTTATGACAGCGTCAGCGACTGTTGTTTCGTAACTTTCATGCGATCAGAAGAAGACGAAGCCCTTTCTGACTACGTTTGGATGTGCGAGTATTAAACTGTTGGTGAGATGGGATGAGATAATGTAACGCTGACGTAGGCTACAGTACAATGACAGTTGCACAGATGTGTGTGCGTGTGTAACTGTGCATGTTGGGAGTTGGGAACCAGTGAGAAAATATCTGGTACCCGGTAACTTTACCAGTAATAACAATATTAATTGAGTTCATAGTTCCTGAATGCTGTAACTAAAGCTGTCAGGATCTGTCTACGTGACTAAATCAGCCGTCAACACAGCCGCGTGTGATTTGTTTACTTACGAGCTGCGGTAGGCTATGTCTATCTGTTGAGTATATGCTATAGTATAGCCTGTATATATGTTGTGTGAGTGTCAAAATCAATGAACAAAAAGATTTTTTTTAAATGTATGTTCTTAGAGTTATTATTATTATTACTTGGCAGCACTTAAATGTGTATTCTTACAAGTGAAAGAACAATATTGTGAAATTCCCGGGGTTTTTTTTTTTTTTAAAGGAATTTCACAATATTGTTCTTTTTACGAGCCATTTTTTGGCTGAGGCAAAATATGAGGCAAAAAAAAAAAAAAAAAAAAGTGGCTGGTAAAAAGTCTCTGTGGCAGGTGAATTTTTAAATCCACCTGCCACAGTGGCCGGTGGTCGAAAAAGTTAATTTCAGGCCCTGATGGCAACATATTAGATTAGTTAATAACCAATGTTTTATGGATTTGGAAAATGATTTGATCATTTCTTTCATTTTGTTTATGAGTTGAATTATGACCTGGACATGTTCTCAAACTGCTGAAACCACCAGCAAAAATCATGCATTGTGTGCACAGTAGCAGTATGTGATTTGTGACGCAGCCACACAAAAAAAACTCAACCGCAGCACAATGAAAATACATTTGATGTGCACGAACCTCTGCCATCCGCTGATCCTCTTCAATTGGAACAAACTTGTCGTACATGCCGTGCACCAGCAGAATGGGTACGGTCAGCTCGGCGTGGTACACTTCATCCCCCTCGGGCCAGTACTGACCGCTCATCATCGCTCGCAGGACGAACGGGGAGACGTTAAACGCGTTTCCCTCTTTCAAGAGCTGCTTCTCTTTAGCACCCTGCCTGGCGAAACCAGCTCTGTGTGGAAAACACAAGAACACACATGCTTTAAACAGCCACCGAAGAAGTCATTACAGAAACCATGACATGCTGGAAAGTGGTGGTGTTTTGTTTTTCTCCTTCTCCCTTTCTCTTGTTTTTCATTTTCCTTATTACATCTTTGATTATTACTACTGCTTTATATGTATAATATATACATAATGAGCATTGTTATACACACAGGTGAAACTCCAAAAATTAGAATATCGTGCAAAAGTTCATTTATTTCAGTAATTCAACTTAAAAGGTGAAACTAATGTATTATATAGACTCATTACATGCAAAGTGAGATATTTCAAGCCTTTATTTGTTATAATTTTGATGCTTACAGCTTATGAAAACCCCCAAATCAAAATATCATATAGAATTATTATACTTAATATCACGCAAAAGTTCAATTATTTCAGTAATTCAACTTAAAAGGTGAAACTAATCTATTATATAGACTCAATACATGCAAAGAGATATTTCAAGCCTTTATTTGTTATAATTTTGATGCTTACAGCTTATGAAACCCCCAAAATCAAAATATCATATAGAATTATTATGCTTAATATCACACAAAAGTTCATTTATTTCAGTAATTCAACTTAAAAGGTGAAACTAATATATTATATAGACTCATTGCATGCAAAATAAGATATTTCAAGCCTTTATTTGTTATAATGTTGATGCTTACAGCTTATGAAACCCCAAAGTCAAAATTATTATATAGAATTATTATACTTAATATCGCGCAAAAGTTCATTTATTTCAGTAATTCTTCAACTTAAAAGGTGAAACTATTATATAGACTCATTACATGCAAAGTGAGATATTTCAAGCCTTTGTTTGTTATAATTGTGATGATTATGGTTTACAGCTTATGAAAAATATTGTGAAAAGGCTTTCATATCTGTAAGCCATAATCATCAAAATTATAACAAATAAAGGCTTGAAATATCTCACTTTGCATGTAATGAGTCTATATAATATATTAGTTTCACTTTTTAAGTTGAATTACTAAAATAAATGAACTTCAAAATGACAATTTTTCGAGTTTCACCTACAATAAAGATGTACATAATTACACATACGTCCTATATTCTGTTTGTGTTTTGTTTTGATGGTCTCGTCTCTAACTGTGCTTTGATAAATAGAAGGTGTGTTACTTGAGGAAGCTCCAGGCGAGGCACGGGGACAGACAGTGCAGGACACAGGAGGGCAGCTGGAAGATGGAGCACAGACTCGGTTCCAGCGCTGTCGGGCCGCCTCCGTTGATCATCACCACCTTATGCACCTGCTCCGGATACTCGTGTGCCAGGAACGTACAGAACGACACCCTTCACAGGGACAAAACGGTGCAATAATTGCTCATGAAAACATGCCAGGAACAAACCACAGGCTTTTGTTAATTATTATAGAACTATTCAGTTTAAAGGAGTAGTTCACTTTACTCACCCCCATGTCATCCAAGATGTCCATGTCTTTCTTTCTTCAGTCGAAAAGAAATTAAGGTTTTTGATGAAAACATTCCAGGATTTTCTCCATATAATGGACTTCAATGGGGTCCAAACGGTTCAAGGTCCAAATGAGAGTTTCAGTGCAGCTTCAAACGGTCAATAAGAGTCTTATCTATTTAAAAAAAAAAAATGAACAAATCTTTTTACGAGTCATTTCGTTGAATGAACCAAATGACTCGAAAAAAGATTCGTTCATTTTGATGAACGAGTTCGAACAGGAGAGTCACATTTGTGCTTATAAAACTTAAACTTTTGTATTTATTTTTTAAACGACCGCTCGTTTGGCTAGATAAGACCCTTATTCATCGTCTGGTGTCGTTTAAAGCCCTTTGAAGCTGCACTGAAACTCTCATTTGGACCTTGAACCGTTTGGTGCGTCCATTATATTGATAATCCTGGAATGTTTTCATCAAAAACCTTAATTTCTTTACGACTGAAGAAAGAATCACATGGACATCTTGGATGACATGGGGGTGAGTAAATTATCAGTTTTTTTTAAAAAGTGAACTACTCCTTGAATGATCTTTTAACCAGTGGTGTGTGTACGTTGGGTAGAAAGGCGGTGCCTACCCGTATGAGTGACCAATGAGGATGTTCCGTTTTCTGGCATATCTCTTGAATATGGCGCGCAGGTCCTCCGCGAGTGCGTAGAAGGTGTACGCCGCCGCGATCTGAGGAGCAATGCTGGCGCCGTGACCCGCCAAATCAGGAGCGACGACCTCGTAACCCAACCGAGAGAAGAAGTCCAGCTGCCTCCCCCAGATGTCCAGCGAGCCGCCCACGCCGTGGATGAAGAACAGCGCCACGTCCGAATGCGTTCCCTTACAGCTGCTGATGCATCGCTGCGTGTCGATCATCACGGTGCGCTTGGGTTTCCGTCGCCTGCGTCTGGGCGGAGGTGCTGGTTTCTGCTGGTCAGAGATGAGAAGAGCTGGAGCGGGTTTGGGGTCCGGCGAGGACGGTGCAGTGGTGTAATCCGACAGCTCCACCTCCACCGTGCTGCACTGCTCCACGTCTCCGTTCTGGCACTGCAGGATCTCGGAGTGGAGGACATCTCCCAGGTTCTCGATCACCAGCTGGCCGTTGCGGTACACCGTGATCTTGCGCTTGCAGTGGACGCTGCTGCTCGGCTCTGGTTGTTCGTCTGCGGTTGCGGGACGTTCGGGGAGAATGTGGCGCACGCGAAGAACCCGGCCTGGCTTCACCTCCACAAACTCGAATCCATCAGCGGGCTTGCCGTCGGATGATTCGACTGGCAAAACAACGCTGGTCGTCTTTCCCCACAGACAGCAGAAGATGCTCTCGGTGATGCTGGTCAACATGTCGCCGGTTTACCTGAAGACACAATTACAATTACAACCAGGGCTTGAACCTGAACCTTTGGTCTAGTCGACCGTTCTCTGAGATTTGTTTTCATGATAATCGAATGTAAAGAGTTTTATCTCTAAAAACTGTATAGCACTAGTATATAATAAGTAGGGTTGGGTATCGTTTGAATTTGAACGATTCTGATTCCGATTCCAATTCCTTGTTTCGATTCCGGTTCCTAACGATTCTCGATTCCGATTCTTTTAAGAGGCAGGGTCAAAAAAGTTTAGCTAACCTTGCTAACCAACGGCCTTTCTGAAGGAAATACTCCTTCTGTAAAAATACTCCTTTTGTCACAAATTTTGTCGAGATTTCGTTATTTTTAGAAAAGTGAAGCCACACTTTGGACCGCCGACGTAAGCTACTCATGTTCGACTCGCGCGGTTATGCCAACACTTCCGGTAGACGCTTCTTCGTTGGTGTTGTTCAGCGGTTTCTTCTTCCGCTCGGCGGACTGTGAATATCGAAACTAGGAATCGAAATTTTAACTTTTGAACGATTCCGGGAAAAACGAAAAGTTAGTCTCGGTTCCAATCGATACTCGATTCTCGATACCCAACCCTAATAATAAGTAAAAAGAAATCGCTAGTTAATACCACTAACAAGGCTCAAAATAGCCCCACACTAACACAGTAACATAATGAGGGTCCCTACATGCAAACCGAAGCATTGAGCAACTTTGTAAGTGTACAGACCATTTAATAGACCCCTTTTGCGCCGACGTCACAGTTACGTCACGGCGCTAGCTGGAGGCAAAACAAAGTGAAAACTAGAGCCCGACCGATAAAGGATTTTGAATGCCGATACCAATACAAATATTTTTTGGTTTTAAAATCTGATATTCCGATATATCGGCCGATTTTATTTATTTATTTTTATTTTTTTTTAGAAACGCGCAAAAAAACATGAACAGATTTCCCTAACATTAGTTATTTGTAGCTATTTATGAGTTTTAACTAAAATAATTAATAAAAATAGTAGTAAAAAATGATTTTATTTTTCAGAATCTTTTGTGAATCCAGAATCCTGTTTGTTTTCATTTTCGTTCATTGTAATAACTCAGATTTTACATTTGACCTTACCAAGCCCTTGTATCGCTTTCAACAACTCATAGATGTACTTCAATCGATCACCCACAATTTTTTTCCTTGTTTCACTCAGAAGTAAAATGATCACATATTTTCTCTTCAGAACCGAAGGAACATTAAATCACAGGTCAAACTATTACCAGAGACGTTCTGGAGGAAACCAGTCCATGCTGTTCTGCTACCGATTTAACTTCCACCCAGTTCGGTGAGTTTAAGCCTTCCTAACATCATTTTAGCTCATGTTGCACTAGTGTGGTGTAATTTGGTTATGGTGGATATTGTCGAAGCCTCCAGTGTTTGTGTGTGAGCTGCACAAAAGAAGCGCTGCATTGCTGTTCCTGTGAGCGACGGGACTGTATGACAGATGCTGTCAGCAAGGCTTTCACAAACACACCATGAAAAATGCAAACAACACTGCAGAGAAAGATCCAGAGAGCCTGGACGCTGTCTGATATGAAAGCACATATAGGGAAGAAACAAGATCTCTATCCTATCGCAAATGTTTCTCATAAACAGCAATGACATTAAATAGAGATAGATCAGAGAGAGATCAGCAATCAAAAGTCAGAAATCTCGATATGATTTCTCATCAAATTGCTGTTCAAATACATTTTTCAGCTCTATACTCTTGCTATATGACAACTATTGACCTTTTTTTTATTATTTCTATGACTTAAGATGAAACATCTGTGATAATTGCTACTCCATGCCACCAAACCAAGTATCAAATATCCTGAGCTTTAAACGAGCAACATCTGAGCACATAAAATCCTCTGAGAGTGTGAGATACTACAGAAGCAAGTATTAAAATGCACACACACTCACCCATGCAATTAATCGCAATAAAAGCAAGTTACAGTGGGAACAGAGCGAGCTGCATGTTGGAGTCCTCACATTGTGACCTAAACAAGGATCTAAAAATAGCCCGGGCTCTTCCAATGTGCTTCCCTTGGGAACTAATGGAGAGAGTATCATGTATTGAACGTGACTACGATAATACCTGCATGCAAATCAATACACCTTTACAGCTGTGATTGTTTCTTGGAAGTGAATGCGGTTCCTGAATCCTGAATGGGGAATATTTACAGCATCAAAACAGAAAGTAGACCTAGACCATCAGTATGTGCTGGACGCTTCCTAGATGAATGACGTACATAGACTCTGGGCTGTATTATAAGTGAGCATGATGCCACAACGTAAAAAAAATGTAGCATTTCGAGATTAAAGTCGAAACATTCCGAGATTAAAGTCATTCCGAGATTAAAGTCGAAACATTCCGAGATTAAAGTCGAAACATTCCGAGATTAAAGGTGAATCGTTCCGAGATTAAAGTCATTTCGAGATTAAAGTCGAAACATTCCGAGATTAAAGGTGAATCGTTCCGAGATTAAAGTCATTTCGAGATTAAAGTCGAAACATTCCGAGATTAAAGTCGAATCATTCCGAGATTAAAGTCATTTCGAGATTAAAGTCGAAACATTCCGAGATTAAAGTCGAAACATTCCGAGATTAAAGGTGAATCATTCCGAGATTAAAGTCATTTCGAGATTAAAGTCGAAACATTCCGAGATTAAAGTCGAAACATTCCGAGATTAAAGTCGAAACATTCCGAGATTAAAGGTGAATCGTTCCGAGATTAAAGTCATTTCGAGATTAAAGTCGAAACATTCCGAGATTAAAGTCGAAACATTCCGAGATTAAAGGTGAATCGTTCCGAGATTAAAGTCATTTCGAGATTAAAGTCGAAACATTCCGAGATTATTTTGTGTTGATCCATGGCATTTTGACTTCACAAGTGCTTTTCTTTACACACACACACGCGCGTGTGCTCTGAGCCAGCGGACGTGCACTGTTATGAATGCACACACTTCTATGGAAGACTGTATTATCGTAATGTTTTGACTTCTCGAAACGTTTTGACTTGAATCTCGAAATGCAAGATTTACGTTACGTTTCAGGGCTTCCGTAGCTGATCGTGCTGAAATCACAGATGAAAATATTGCTATTTTGTAATGTATTTGTACTGAAAAAATAATTATGATTTTTTTTTCTGGTAAATTAAATTGTGCATTGAAAAACGTTAAATTAAAACAATTTTCACTAAGAAATTGCTAGTAATGTAACAAATAATTACAAAGAAAGGGCAAGCAACACATTGAATTAAACATGAAACTGAAGTAGAAAGACTGAAATAGTGTTTTCTTGTTAAACATGCCACAATGTTAGCTATAACTGTATAATATATGTAAATATACAGAAAGGTTAATTATTTTCTGGTGCAAGAAAATTTGTCACTGAAACATACCTAGTATTTAAATGTAAACATGTATAAGTACGTAAAGGTGAATTATTTTCTAATTTAAAGAAATTGTAGCTGTAACTCATATTGCAAAATAATTTTGTGTGTAAATGTACAGAAAGATTCATTAGTTTATAGTGCAAGAGAATTGAAGCTATAGCAATAGTGTAATATGCAAATGTAATATTTACTATGTAAACATGCACAGAAAGAAATATTTTCTGCTGTAAAACAAATTATATAAATGTAAACATCTTGTTGTTTTTAAGCTTACATTTGTTGAAGTAGGTCTTGAGTAGGGTTGGGTATCGTTTGAATTTGAACGATTCTGATTCCGATTCTGATTCCTTGTTTCGATTCCAGTTCCCAACGATTCTCGATTCCGATTCTTTTAAGAGGCAGGGTCAAAAAAGTTTAGCTAACCTTGCTAACCAACGGTCTTTCTGAAGGAAATACTCCTTCTGTCACAAATACTCCTTTTGTCACAAATTTTGCATTTTGCCAAGATTTCGTTATTTTTAGAAAAGTAAAGCCACACTTTGGACCGCCGATGTAAGCTACTCATGTTCGACTCGCGCGGTTCTGCCAACACTTCCGGTAGACGCTTCTTCATTGGTGTTGTTCAGCGGTTTCTTCTTCCGCTCGGCGGACTGTGAATATCGAAACTAGGAATCGAAATTTTAACTTTTGAACGATTCCGGGAAAAATGAAAAGTCCCGGTTCCAATCGATACTCGATTCTCGATACCCAACCCTAGTCTTGAGTTATTTGTCCCTCCATGTTTTTACTGCTGTTTGCTAATATATTCACAGTCATCCTCTCTATATCCTCCGTCTCGCTCCTTGTCTTTCACAGCCCTATCAGTCAGCAGACAGCCGCTTCCACAAAGGAAGTGACACGTTTATGACAGGCCAAACTTCCTGTTCTACAGCCAGAGACATTTAATAAGTCCACATGCCCACTCAAACATATAGAAATTCAAATTAAAGACCACAAATAATAAAGCAACAAACATAACACATAACAGGATTGGTCAGGATTGCATCTCTTTCTGTCCTTCACCTGCTCGGTTTTTAGCAGATTCATCTTGAGGACTAATAACTAGTCTTCTGATTGGTATTTGATCGTCTATAAGTGACATATTGTGGTAGTTTTATTCTATGAGTAGTAATTTGTTTGTTTTTCAGGGTACAGAAGTAACGTAATGATGCAAAGACGTGCTCGAATCTCCCGCTGGAATCCACCAGTACCACTGGAATTAAAAACATTATTACAAGCTTACCGCTTTGAATCGAGCTACGGCAAGCAGAGAGTTATGTATTTGCTCAAATATGTATTTTGGATCATTTTTAACCCCAAAAAGAGCTATGGGCTGCAGCTTTAAAAAGATGCTGAAACATTAATGAAGAAGAGAAGACAGTGTAGGAGTGTTGGAGTGTGGCGGCTGCTATATTTTGACTATTTTTCATGAAGATAGTGTGGGAAAGTGCTGATATTTTGTATCTAATGCAATGACATCGTGCCGCTTTTAAGTGCTCAGATGTTGTTCGGGGTCAGATTTACAGTAGTAGTGCTGTCTCGGGTCTTTCCCGCATATGTAAAGACCGTCCGGGATCCTCTAGGAATTGCTGTTTTTGCTGGAGTGCTACTCTCAGCTTCTGCAGCGGTGAAAGTGTCGACTTCAGCACCTACGCTAAAATCAATGCCGCAGGCTGATCCTGCCATAGGACATCTCGTGTTACGCTATTATGCAATGAAGTTAGAGCTCTTTTTATTTATTTCTTTATTTTTAAGATGATTGTGTTTGACCGACAAGATCTCTGCCAGAGACATTTGTTTTTCAAACGCAGATTCTCTATTATTGCAAATGAGATGAAATTGAGTGTATTTATTTACAATTGACTAGAAAATTGTTTATTATTCATTGACTCTTTTGAGGTTTGAATGGCCAAATTCCGTCTAATTAATCAATTTCGCAAGTAAAATAGGCAGCAATCCTTTCAGCATTGATGGTGCCTTTCCAGATGTGTAAGCTGCCCATGCCACACGCACTCATGCAACCCCATACCATCAGAGATGCAGGCTTCTGAACTGAGCGCTGAGAACAACTTGGGTTGTCCTTGTCCTCTTTAGTCCGGATGACATGGCGTCCCAGTTTTCCAAAAAGAACTTCAAATTTTGATTCGTCTGACCACAGAACAGTTTTCCACTTTACTAGAGTCCACTTTAAATGAGCCTTGGCCCAGAGAAAACGCCTGCGCTTCTGGTTCCCGTTTAGATATGGCTTCTTTTTTGACCTATAGAGCTTTAGCCGGCAACGGTGAATGGCACGGCGGATTGTGTTCACTGACAATGTTTTCTGGAAGTATTCTTGAGCCCATGTTGTTATTTCCATTACAGTAGCATTCTTGTGTGTGATGCAGTGCCGTCTAAGGGCCCGAAGATCACGGGCATTCAGTATGGTTTTCCGGCCTTGACCCTTACGCACAGAGATTGTTCCAGATTCTCTGAATCTTTTGAAGATGATAACTTCAAACTCTTTGCAATTTTTCTCGGAGAAACTCCTTTCTGATATTGCTCCACTATTTTTTGCCTCAGCATTGGGGGAATTGGTGATCCTCTGCCCATCTTGACTTCTGAGAGACACTGCCACTCTGAGAGGCTCTTTTTATACCCAATCATGTTGCCAATTGACCTAACAAGTTGCAAATTGGTCCTCCAGCTGTTCCTTATATGTACATTTAACTTTTTCTGGCCTCTTATTGCTACCTGTCCCAACTTTTTTGGAATTTGTAGCTCTCATGAAATCCAAAAAGAGCCAATATTTGGCATGGCAATTCAAAATGTCTCACTTTCAACATTTGATATGTCATCTATGTTGTATTCTAAATATAATATTGAAATTTGAAACTTCCACATCATTTGTACAGTGTCCCAACTTTTATGGAATTGGGTTTGTATGTAGCATAGGGTTCTTTACTCAACTCCAAAGGACATTTTATGCTAAAAAAGGTTCTATAATGACAAGAACCCTTTTGGCACAAAGGCTATTATTCATTCATATATTACATTATTCTGCAACATTTTGTAGTTATTAAATTATTGTTTATTAAACTGTTGTAGCAACTTAATATCACATTTTAATCATGCTGATTTTTTAAGGAGAAAAACTGAAATGGCACTCCTCATGAGATATTGATTAATTACATTTTTTAACCACCATATCTTGAATTTTGTGATCATTCACATGCATTGCATTTTAGGGGTTCCAAATATTTAGCGCTTTAGAACCTTTAAAGGTTCTATATAGAACCTTTTCTTCTAAGAGTGTATCTCCTGTCTTTTAAAGTTATGCGAAAGCTTTGTGTGAGGCAAATGCCATAAGACGAGCTACAGAAGAGGTACAAGCGCTTTGAGGTTGAGCAGATGATGAATTATTTTTTGGTTTTTGGATGAACTCTTTCTTTAAACTGTAAGAAAATAACAGATAGCAAGTTCAGTATCGATGCAACAGGGAGATGGAGGAGGGAAACATCGATCTGCCAATTAGCTAATGATTCTCCAGCATCAGGTGCTGTTCACCCCATCTCCACAGGGAACATCATTACGCATCAAGTTGCTCTGGAAAGGTCTATCTAAAGTATTATGATAGATATATTGAACACTGTTTACCCTTCAGTGAGCGAGCCATTTCTTTTGAACAATAATATATGAAGAGTTCAGATGCAAATTTGAAATTTTCTTCTAGAATGATCATTTTTTTATCAAGCTTGTATATTTAAGTTCAGTGATTTCACCTTTTACCTATTAATTGTTATTTAAGTGAAATTACTGAACTTAAATATACAAGTTTGATAAAAATCATCATTAAAGAAGAAAATTTCAAATGGCATTTAAAAGCTTTTGCATCTGAACTCTTCATATATTCATATATATATATATATATATATATATATATATATATATATATATATATATATATATATATATATATGTTCACATTGCAGGGTAATAAATAATAAAAGCAAAAACCCACTTGCATGAATCAAAACTACAAGACGTTCAACTCTCAAAAGATTAATATCTTAGAATTGAAGTTTTATAACCTCTGACTATAGAAGATATTATATATTTTTTCTACCATTATTTTAAGCTCATCAGTCCCCTTTTATACCAATATTACGGGTTTATTTTGCTGCTCCTTGTGTATTCTGGTCATTTATGTTTTGACTTACTGCATATTACTGGGAATTTGATTGATTTTATTGAACGATGGTGGCGTATAATATTTCACATGAAAGAAACATTCGCACAGCAAATTCCTGCATGCATTGCCCCACATTTGCCGAGTGGGAGTGTGTTTTGGTGTGTCATCACTCAGTCTGCAATGCAGAGTCGGAGTGTGTAGGCAGTCACTAGGCAGGTTGTTGTACAGTATGCTGATTAGTAACCTACATTAAGAACAATATGTACAGTCAATTCAGCCAACTCGTTATCCAAAAGGGTTTAGTGTGTCATTGAAGCATGCTTAGAATGCAAGTCATTTCATTTTAATAAATGATGCACTGCAATGCATCAGCACAACCCCTGCCTCCAGTAACAATGATGCCTCATTAACCTTAGCATTTTTTTTTGCAATTAATGCTAATATTGCATTGCATCCTAGAGTTTCCATGCAAAACATGTACACATCAATGACATTGATTGATTGATTGGTTGCTGCGCAACGCATTGGTTTGCAAAACACACTGACTGCACACTTTAATATATAGACGATTAAATAGCAATGCAACCTTACGGAATGTGATTTTGAAATATGATTCTTACCTGTATCGATGTCTGTGAGACGAATCGGATTTGTAAGCGCGCTAAATTACGCACCACAATTTCTTGGAGGGTTTAAGATCTCTCGAAAGCTATTCAAATAACCTGTTATTTAAATCGGATTCTGCAGAGGAGATGATTTGGCATCTGCATTCTAATCTAGATTTAAGACATTCAAATCAAATGTAAGCAAACGAATTCGGGTGTAGTAGAGAGATAAAGATGCATGTTGATAAACCCGTTCCAGCGTCGGGGAACTGCTGCTCTCAGCATCTTCATCCTCATCCTCACTCCTGGGTTATTATCTAGCCCAGTGCCCTTGTTTTCTCCGGTGGTCGGAAACCATGTCTCGGTTCGTGTTCTGTTTGACTGACAGGAGGTGTAACGAACTGAAGGGCTTCCTGCAGTGAGTTCTGACCAATGCAGTGTCATCTAGTGCTGTTGCTATGCCCTGAAGAGAGAGAGCGCAAAGAGCTCCCCTATAGCACACACACATTAGTATGGAAGCTTGTTTCCGACACAGAATGAAAAATAAAAAAGGTAATTGCGACTTTTTACCTCACAATTCTGACTTTTTTTTCCCCCTCACAATTGCAAATTTACATCTCGCAATTCTGACGAGATATAGCCTTGCTAAACTCGCAAATTATCGAGAAACTCGCAATTATGTGTTATAAAGTCAAAATTGCGAGATATAAACTCGCAATTGTGAGAGTCAGAATTGTGAGATAAAAAGTCTCAATTCTGTCTTTTTTTTCTCTCAGAATTGCGACTTTATCTCGCAATTGCGACTTTTTTTTCTTAGAATTGCGACTTTATTTCTTAGAATTGCGACTTTATATCTTGCAATTGCGACTTTATTTCTCAGAATTGCGACTTTATTTCTCAGAAGGAAGTACCGGCAGTCCTATTCCAAATATGTTTGATAGACAAAAAATTACACTCTAAAAAATACTGGGTTGTTTTAACCCAATTTTGGGTCAATATGGACAAACTGAAACATTGGGTTAAAAATGTAATTTAAAAAAATTAACCTAGTGGCTGGGTTTGTCCATATTTGACCCAAAATGGGGTTAAAACAACCCAGCATTTTTTAGAGTGTAGATAGATCTAAATTTAAGCCTATACATGTAAATTCATAATATTAATACACTCTAAAAAAATGCTTGGTTGTTTTGACCCAATTTTGGGTCAAATATGGACAAACCCAAATGTTGGATTAAAAAATGCATATAAAAATAAATTTAACCCAACAGCTGGGTTGACCCATTTAACCCATCCATATTTGACCCAAAATTGGGTTAAAACAACCCAGCATTTTTTAGAGTGTAGGCAGCAGATTATGACAAAAAACACATGCAAAAAATTCCCCTAGGCCTATCTACTGACTTTTGGTCAGTGGTGTATATAAATATTGAAAACAATACGTATACTGTACGTAATATAAGAGCTGCATGATTCTGGACAAATTGAGAATCACGATTGTTTCGTTTCAAATAGAGATCGCGATTCTGAACCGACAACAGCTAGGCTAAACAAAACAAGTAGGCCTAATTTACTAGTTTATGTCAATGTTAAATTCTGCGTTCTATTTAAAATGTTTAATCAATTTAAATTAATTATATAAAAAATAAATAATTAAATAAAAATAAATGGTTTATCTCAATCATAAATATGTCAGCGTTTTGATACATTAAGTCATTTGTCGCCACCTACTGGTGGATATTTATATATTTGTATATTTATATATTACATATTTGTCCACCCCATATTTCCATGACTAATGCTTAGTTATTTTGTGTTTGTATCAATCGCTTTAACTTAAAATGTAGGCCTATTATTATTATTGTCTGTAATTCTCATTAGTCTGAATGATAATTCTTACTCAATTATTACTGTAATACAGCAATGACTTGAATTCTTGATGTATAGAGATTGAACATGGACCCAAAGTACTGTTGCATTGTAAGTCTGACATAAAATATATAACCACATCCATGTATTTACATACTTTATGATCTGTACATTGCACAGCCATTAAAATCATTATTACAGAGTTACAGTCATAGTCATGTTTTACTTAACATTTACACTTAAATCTTTCTCTTTTTTTGAGTAAAACGGACACCAGGGATTTGTTTAACAGGTTAGATTCACTCAATAAATGAAATAGGCAAAAAAAAAATATGAACAAAAATAATTGCCACAGCTAAAAGAGAACATAATTTCTGTTACAATAATAATGCTGAAGTGTAATTATACAAAGAGTTCTGATTTATGATGTGCAATATTTAAAGCATTAAAGTGATCAACCTCTAACACTCTTGAAGTATTTGGCAAATGTAAGAAAGTGATTGTAATGAAATAAGTGAATTGCATCATGCATGGAATCACTCAATTGCATATTATCAATCAATTGCATTCACTCTTACAGATTTGATTTAAGATTTTAAAATTATAATATGGCAGATCTCCCATGTTTGATATGACAACAACGAATTACATCCTAAACAATTAGTTGACATTTAAAAAAACAACAATAGCAATTATAAACAACAGGTTGATTCATAGCTTCTGATACCAGAGCCGTTCCAGTCTATGAGAGGAATTGCTCCAGATCTATGTAACGATTGGGTCTCCATATGCACAGTTGTGCTCAATGCCGATATTGTACCAGTTGCCTTTCCCTCCTTTAAATGCACTGGTGACGATCCTGGCCCAGCCTGACTCTCCCTAAGAGAGACACACACACACGACAAGCCCAGTTTAAACACAGACATACGTATTGAACGTTCAGGACAAGGTTTATTAAATGCATGAAGCAGTTTCTCCTCACAGTATGTGATCCACGGATGAAAGAAAGTGGAAATGCACCATATGAGGGTGAGTAATTGATGACATAATTTTCATTTTTTTTAATTTCTCTTTTCTTTAATCCACAGTGGGGTAAAGCTAAACAGGAATGTGTTTACCCGTTCGATGCTTTATGAAACCCACTAGCCAGTCACGAGTCAAGACTCTGGTTGCAGTTTCGCTTGTCGCCAGAGGGGGCGTAGTTCTGCAAAAACTCAAAGGCCGCGTCCGAAATCAAATACTTCCCTACTACTGTATATATAGTGTTGTCGTGCGCATACGATGGACACTTGACTATCCCATGATCCCATATTTATTTAGTCGGATTTATTTAGTTGGATTGTCATACAAACTAGGAACTCTCAACTTACGGGAAACACCGACTTGTTGAACTATGCTGATGACACTGGAATTTGCGACCATAGTTGGCTAACGATGCTTTCAGGAAACACAACCAAGGTCAGACCAAAGCCCTGTAATCTACTCACCCAGAAGTCGCCCCAGGAGTTTCTGACGACCCAGTATTCGGTCCCGTCCTCCGTGACGCCCCAGCCCGCCACTGAGATGATGTGATTTGGTATAGAGAGGATGTGAAACTCAGCAAAAACCCCTCCATCATACACCTCCAGGCCTTTGGTCGCCATTATCGCACAGCTACAACACAGAGAAACCCTTTCAGTCCAACTGCAAAGTTCATTCGGTTTGACAAAATCAAACTTTCTAAGTCAAACTTTCCATATCTAATAAAATTTACCTAATAACTACCTTTTATTATTATATTATATAATAATAAAGGTATATTAATGAAGGTAAAATACGACCTATATTAACCTATATTATTTAGATCATTTGTGTGACCAGCATTTAGATTAATAATGAATTTTAGTTTTCACAGGGAAGCGGTCTTCTCTTGTTTAGGGTCAAATTATACTCTGCCCGGCCAAAGAAAAGTTGCTGTTTAGATTTAAAATACTTAAGCAAATACTTAAGAGTCTATGATTGGATCATCATTATTAGGATTCTATCATGTTATATGTTTAGCAACAGTTCTTCCAACTCTAATTGATGGTTTCAAGCATAGTAGCTTTTCATTTCTTAAACACCCATGTAGGAAAACACATCATGATCATATTCCAGGATGACAATGTCATGAAGCTTGTTTCCGCCACTGAATAAAAAAATATAGGAAATATAATGGCGACTTTTTATCTCACAACTGCGACATTAGTGAATTTGAGAATTGTGAGAATTGCAAGATATAAAGTCACAATTATGAGATATAAAGTCACAATTGCAAGATATAAAGTCCAAATTGTGAGATATAAAGTCGCAATTATGAGAAATAAAGTCGCAATTGTAAGATATAAAGTCGCAATTGTTAGATATAAAGTCGTAATTATGAGAAATAAAGTCGCAATTGTAAGATATAAAGTCGCAATTGTTAGATATAAAGTCGTAATTATGAGAAATAAAGTCGCAATTGTGAGATATAGTCCCAATTGTGAGATATAAAGTCGCAATTGTTAGATATAAAGTCGCAATTATGAGAAATAAAGTCGCAATTGTGAGATATAAAGTCGTAATTATGAGAAATAAAGTCGCAATTGTGAGATATAAAGTCGCAATTGTGAGATATAAAGTCGCAATTGTGAGATATAAAGTCAAAATTCTGAGTAATAAAGTCGCAATTGTGAGATATAAAGTCCAAATTGTGAGATATAAAGTCGCAATTATGAGAAATAAAGTCGCAATTGTGAGATATAATGTCGCAATTGTTAGATATAAAGTCGTAATTATGAGAAATAAAGTCGCAATTGTGAGATATAGTCCCAATTGTGAGATATAAAGTCGCAATTGTTAGATATAAAGTCGCAATTATGAGAAATAAAGTCGCAATTGTGAGATATAAAGTCGTAATTATGAGAAATAAAGTCGCAATTGTGAGATATAAAGTCGCAATTGTGAGATATAAAGTCGCAATTGTGAGATATAAAGTCGCAATTGTGAGATATAAAGTCAAAATTCTGAGTAATAAAGTCGCAATTGTGAGATATAAAGTCCAAATTGTGAGATATAAAGTCGCAATTATGAGAAATAAAGTCGCAATTGTGAGATATAATGTCGCAATTGTTAGATATAAAGTCGTAATTATGAGAAATAAAGTCGCAATTGTGAGATATAGTCCCAATTGTGAGATATAAAGTCGCAATTGTTAGATATAAAGTCGCAATTATGAGAAATAAAGTCGCAATTGTGAGATATAAAGTCGTAATTATGAGAAATAAAGTCGCAATTGTGAGATATAAAGTCGCAATTGTTAGATATAAAGTCGCAATTATGAGAAATAAAGTCGCAATTGTGAGATATAAAGTCGCAATTGTGAGATATAAAGTCGCAATTGTGAGATATAAAGTCGCAATTGTGAGATATAAAGTCAAAATTCTGAGTAATAAAGTCGCAATTGTGAGATATAAAGTCCAAATTGTGAGATATAAAGTCGCAATTATGAGAAATAAAGTCGCAATTGTGAGATATAATGTCGCAATTGTTAGATATAAAGTCGTAATTATGAGAAATAAAGTCGCAATTGTGAGATATAGTCCCAATTGTGAGATATAAAGTCGCAATTGTTAGATATAAAGTCGCAATTATGAGAAATAAAGTCGCAATTGTGAGATATAAAGTCGTAATTATGAGAAATAAAGTCGCAATTGTGAGATATAAAGTCGCAATTGTGAGATATAAAGTCGTAATTATGAGAAATAAAGTCGCAATTGTGAGATATAAAGTCGCAATTATGAGAAATAAAGTCGCAATTATGAGATATAAAGTCGCAATTATGAGAAATAAAGTCGCAATTATGAGAAATAAAGTCGCAACTGTGAGATATAGTCCCAATTGTGAGATATAAAGTCCAAATTGTGAGATATAAAGTCGCAATTATGAGAAATAAAGTCGCAATTGTGAGATATAAAGTCGCAATTGTGAGATATAAAGTCATAATTATGAGAAATAAAGTCGCAATTGTGAGATATAAAGTCGCAATTGTTAGATATAAAGTCGCAATTATGAGAAATAAAGTCGCAATTGTGAGATATAAAGTCGTAATTATGAGAAATAAAGTCGCAATTGTGAGATATAAAGTCGCAATTCTGAGATATAAAGTCGTAATTATGAGAAATAAAGTCGCAATTCTGAGATATAAAGTCGCAACTGTGAGATATAAAGTCGCAATTGCGAGATATAAAGTCGCAATTATGAGAAATAAAGTCGTCATATCTCCTAATTGTGAGAAAAAAAGTCACAATTACCTTTTTTATTTTTCATTATGTGGCGGAAACAAGCTTCCATAGAAGAGAGAGAATCACACGTAATTCAAACTTTAAAATATAACCCTAAACACACCATAAAACAAAAGGTCTAAATGTTCTTAAATCTCACAGCAATGTTCAAAACTCTTGAAATAGCGGTCAATTTAATTCTAAAATTCGGGGTGTAAAACTAGCCTTATTGGCCCATTTTTGTAGATCTCAGCCTTCATGTGGTCTCGTCCTGAGACGTCTCCGTAGTCTCCGACTTTCCACACGGTGTAGTTTTTAATTGTGGAGCAAGAACCGAAGAACGAGCATGTGCCACACTGATTAAACGAGTCGCATTCTGCAAAACAAAAGTCCGAGTAGAGGAATAACACGTATATAATATTTAAATCCACGTACAGTACCTCACTGTTACAATGTGCATAATATACAAGAGTAATTAGTGCATGATAAACTGCAACCTGAGCAAAAGTTTTAATGCAAGTTGCATCAATATTACATTTGCATCTAAATGTTGTGATGATATAAACTGCTTTATATGCAACTCTTACTTTGATTCCGAGCTTGATAATTATTGCAGGTCTCATCAGGAATGCCCCGCTCATTTGCATATGCATAAACGCCCATGTGATCTCCTCCATGGCAGGACCCGGCCCCTCCACAGTCGATCACGTTCTGCACTGACAGGTACGCAGAAGGCCACGCCCCTTTCCTCTTGATGTTAATGCGATCTGAATTAGGATGAGAGCACAAGACGTGTGTTTTTTCTCTGGTGTTCTTCATTCCTGTGCTTTGCTGTAGTGTTCTCACCTGCGAGTGCACTGGTGGAGCCCATGGCCCAGCATGAGCCGCAGTACTGAGGGATGTGTTGGTTGCGTGTGACGCTTACATAGTTTTTGCCATCAATGTTACGCCAGTCCCAGGAGGCAGGGAGATCAGAGACGTTTACATACTCATGAGGCCGGGGATACGTCCTAAAACATGCATGAAATATTACTATTATTACATCACCAGTGTCACATCAGTTCAATAAAAGACATTGCAGTTCCTCATACAAAACGTAATGTGACGGTACCGGGGTGACTGAAATACATTATGAGAATACAATATTCAAAATCGGAATACTCTGATGTAAACTATGTTGAATGCATATTAGAATGATTTCTGAAGGATCATGTGACACTGAAGACTAGGGTAATGATGCTGAAAATTCAGCTTTGCATCACTGAAATAAATTATATTGTAAAGTATATTTAAATAGGAAAACATTCTAAATTGTAATATTTTTTTCTGTATTTTTTATCAAGTAAATAAGCTTTGATGAGCAGAAGAGAATTCTTTAAAAAAACATTACAATACTGTGTGTGTGTGTGTATATATATATATATATATATATATATATGAAGAGTTCAGATGCAAAAGCCTCTAAATGCCATTTGAAATTTTCTTCTTTAATGATGATTTTTATCAAACTTGTATATTTAAGTTCAGTAATTTCACTTAAATAACAATTAATAGGTAATTATCATTGCCATTTAAGTGAAATTACTGAACTTAAATATACAAGCTTGATAAAAAAATGATCATTCTAGAAGAAAATTTCAAATGGCATTTAGAGGCTTTTGCATCTGAACTCTCCATACATATATATATATATATATATATATATATAGTCAAGTCACATTTATTTATATAGAGTTTATATATTTCTTCATAAATATTTATTGTCATTTGAAGTTTTTGAACTTGTTTTTAGATGTGTCAGAACTACATGAATGAGAAGACGTTCATTCTGATTTAATTAAGACAATTTGAGGATGGGTTGTTGATTATTTGATTGTATTCAAATGCAGCTTTTTTTAATTAGAGCTTTTTTACAATACAGATTGTTTAATTTGTGCTAATAACCAAGATTTAATTAGTGCTGTCAAATCAATTAATCAAACCTAACATAAAAGTTTGTAAATATGTGTATACATAGGCTATATTTACACACATGTATATATATAAATACACACACACATACATGCATAGATTCATACATACATACGTGTACATATTTAAAAAAAAATATGTTAGATACTGTATGATTAATCGATTTGACAGCACTAATTAAATCTAGGTAATAAGAAAATAAGTGAATTTATGCTTAAAACAATAGCAAAACTTCTTGTTTAAAGCAAAAACAAGACAAAACTATTAAGTAAGAAAATAGTTTTCTTTTTTTGCAGTGTGATTAGCCTACTTGTATATATATTTACATACAGAATAATGGTATTGCCATTTTAGGCTAGATGTAACTGACATTTTATTGCCATGGTGGTATCACTGTGGTACATGTCTAAAAACATAGTATTACCATGGTATCCTAAAGTAGAGTAACGTTACGTGGATATTGCCATATCGCACTAAAATGGCTATAGTTTTGTATGTGGTTTCTTAGTGCAAGTACAACATGGATACAGACATGGAAACGAGAAATATTTCCATACTTTCTGAATGATGGTCTGTGATCCTTCATTGGTTTGTAACATGAATCTGATAGTTGCTGAACTTCAGTGAATCCTGTCGCGTGCACGAACAGCTCGAGCAGAAGTGAAAACCATAACACACCAGACGCCATGATGAATGTTTACATCTGAGTTTGACGCTCAGGAAGAGCGAAAACAAGACTCTTACCGCCCTCTACAGAACCGGAGAGAAAGTCCTCAGTTTAATCAGTCTATGCTATAAAAAATAAATCCCACTTAAATCTTAATTATTAACAAGTCATTTTTATGACGCAAAATTATGGTATGCTAGGTCGTAATTGTGAGAAACTATGACATTATCGAAATGGAATTGGCCTAAGTCGAAATGGACATAGGCTAAGCCTTCATTTTGACTTTTATTTAATTCACTTTTGAATTAAACGTTTTAATGTATAGCCTGTACGTGAGCCTTCCATAATAACACACATACATCACAGTGACTGATGTGTGTGTTTACATCTGGAAGATGTATTTTTAAGAGTGTTTGCTCATCTGCAACATGTTTATAGGACGTTTTCTGTCAGATGTCAAATAGACGTTTAGAAGATGTCTTTAAGATGTAATGATTTAGAATGTATGTTAAACTGACATCTTAAAGATATCAGACGTTAGTAAACAGCAGATGCTTACCAGATGAAGGGATCTTTAACAGACATCGTTCAGGGGTGCAGGGGATACAACCCCAACAATTGATTGAGTAATTGTACAAAAAAATTTAATCATACAAATAATATCTTTTATTTATTTTTTGTTTACTTCTCATCTATTCATTAATGCTGTGTTTTTGTATATATAAAGTAGTACTTTTGTATCCATATACCACACAATTCCTCAACTACACCATTAGCTTTTATGATACATTGCATTTATGCTCTAGTACTAGTCCTTCATTTCTGTGTAAACATTTTCGGATTTATGCTGGATTTTTATTTATTTATTTATATATTTATTTTTGACACATGAAGAATATTTATAGACGGTAAGACGATCATTCTGATTAATCTGACAATTTGAGGACGGGGGGTTGATAATTGTATTTAAATGCTGCTTTTTTTTTGTACATCAATCCTAAATTTTAGTAGCCAATACTTAAGTTGTTCAGTTGTAGTGCTTCGTTCTCAGCAGCAGATGGTGCTAAAATACTTTGAAATACGTTGATAGTTTTCAGTCACATGACTGACGCGGAGGGATATTTAGATGACCTCTTAAGAGACACAATGTGAACAAAATCCCAATTTCCGTATATTGTTTACAGCACCAGCTGCTGGATTTCACTAAAAAGGAAACATTAACGTTAAAACCCCATCAAAGTCCCTTCAAAGAGGCTCAATGTACTAAAATAGTGATATTGAAATGTATTGATGAAATGAGTAGATGAGCCAACCATTACCCTAGCGTTTTCTTTATAATGGTTTTCTATGGAAAGACGCTTATTCTGGGTTCATCTGTATGCATCATCAATTTATTATCATTGTCTTACTACATTAGAGCTTCCGCTTAGTAAAGATTATGAAGGGAAGCCTTGTTTTTCCCTCCAGATGGGTGTCGTCGTCACGTGAAAACTCAAGGATTCAGTAGTATCCACAAAGTCAAAGAATATAAGAACAAGAGGCGAAACTCTGATGCTTTTTTGGTAACAGCCACTAGATGGCGCTTCGGTAGCGCGGCAGCCATATCGGGGTGAAAATTCCAACTGGAGTTACTGGACAACAGCACAGATAACAGTTTTTTTGAGGTAGTTTTTTCTTGCATTAGTGAGTATTTCAATTGTATGCAACTTTACACGTTTACTACTATTATTAGTTACCAACTAGGCCTGAAATATATGTTGGACGTTTTAATCCCCTGGATCATAGTTAACATGATGATCATTGATGCCCTGTGTCCGTTAGCCTATAACTATTAGCCACTTTAGACATTGGTTGTGTTTTTTTGTTTGTTTACATGGTCTTGCGTCATTAATATAAGATAGGCTAGTACTGCAAAAACAAAAAAAACAACAAAAAAAACTGTTTACTGTAAAGCCATTCTATTGCTGTTATATATTTATTGTCAAACATTTACATTTTAGTACAACATTTATTTGCTGAATTTATTTCATTGATAACTTATTTATTTTTGTAAGTAACGTTATGTGTAGGCCTACCTCCCGGGAAACGGTCTATGTTATTATAACTTTATGAACTGATATCACTTTATTCTTACCTGTCACACTTATGTGGAGAGTAATGAATTAAATCCTCAAACTTCCCTGTCTCAATTTATGTGGGGGTAAAAAGCCCGGTTAAGTAGCAACTTTTTTTTAACTGCTATAAAGTTAACTGTTGTGAGTTAAATAATCACCTAGCCTAATTATTTCAACCTAAAAATGATCTCTGCACTGGACTAAATGTCGCTTTCCCGCTTTCACCCCGAAATGGCGGAAGCGCAGGGCTGCTGCTGGGCGCTGGTGTTGCAATTTCACTTCTTGTCAATATACGTTCTTTTGGCTTGTCAGAGAAAGTGTTGAAGTCCCCGTGAACCGGAAGTTGCAAACGATTTTTTTCCAGTGCTGTGACGTATTTCCAAGTGAAACGGAAGTGAAACGGAATATTGACTAACTACTAACTAACTACTAACTAGGTGTAACTTTGGGGTAAGTTCAAAACTGTTGAGTTGTTTCAGTAAAACTGTAGTCTGAAAATACAGAACTAAACTTATTAAAAAAAAGGCTTGGAAGGAGTATAGGGAAAGGCTTTTTAAAGAGGCCAAATAATCTGCCAAAACATGTTTGTGAGGATTGAGGTTATAATCAGAAAGCTTATTCATTATACAGCAGGCTTTCAGAAGGGAAAACGTGCAACTTGTGTCGTATTTGACCAAATGTCTTTTTTAAGAAATTAAAAGTTTAGATTGGGCTATAATTATGGCTTTTAAGAAGACTAGATGTCAAGTTCATCATGGCGTCCGTTTGGAGTTGTCAGGAAGTTTCTTGATCTAACTTTTATGTAATGAAATTATCATCAATACTCATTACTGTGGGAAGTTGTTTAATGATCAGTGTTTGTCGACTCAGCAGAGTGTGTGGACTCAGATTGCCGTGTGATTCAATTTGACATGGTTCTGTTGCTTCCACCTGCAGTTCATGATATCCTCCCAGTTAAATTAGCTCTTAAACTCATGTATATCTCCTGACTCCATCGAAGAGAGGAGTTTCTCCTCATGTCAGAGATGATGTGTGCTTTCAGAAACAGAAGACGATACAGCCTCCATTAAGATCAGCGAGACTCCTGTGGTCAGAGTGAATATGTTAACAAAGCCAGACTAACAGAAAAAAAGGTACAAAAGCGGTCACTGGGGCTGTTCCTTTTCAAAAGGTACACTTTTGTAACTAAATGCTGCATATTGGTACCTTAATTAGCACCCAGAATGTACATACCCTGTTTTTTAAGAATAGTCTCTGCTTTCAAACTACAACAAAAAATATATATGACGCTGTGATGGCCACACAAGGAAACTTTAACGGTGGTAACTTTCATTTGTTTTGAGCACATTACATATTGTAGAAAATAAATAACTGGACACATACACACACTTTAGTTTTAAAAACAGTTTTATTAGTTATTTGACTTGGTTTGGGTGCACACACCGAAGTGATGACGTCACTTAGTTTGTAGGACAACTCGGAAGCTAGCGGCGCATGGGTTCCCTCGGTCGAAAAGCAATGCATTTTCCCCATAGACTTTTGGAAAATCGCAAAAAATAAGATCTGTGTTTAACAAAGGGTTGTGACCCTTACACGTTTTGTCTAGCAAGATAATCTTTACAAGTTAATCCAAAATTTATACATTTTGAAGCCTAGTATATAAAGATTTTAAAAAACACAATCAGACACAATAAAGTTTAAAAAACCACAAGCAGGTTATAACTGTGTGTTCTATGTCAAAGATCAAAACGTGAAAATATTTAGAGGCTTTGTTCACCACAGACCTTATTTCAGCCGATTTAGCAAAAACCCATTCAAAAATCCCATAGGCTTTAGAGCGAGGGAACCGTAGTGCTAAAATGCTAACTCACTTCCGCGTTTTGGCCTACAGAGTGACGTCGTAACTTCGGCACTCTATTAAAGTCCCCGTGAACCGGAAGTTGCAAACGATTTTTCTCCAGTGCTGTGACGTATTTCCAAGTGTAACGGAATATTGAACAGAGGGCAGGGTTTTACTCTAGCGCTCCTCCTCTCCATCTCTCGCTCATAGCAAACTAACGGTTTGAGGGGAGTGGTTAAGCGTTTCCCCACCCAAACTGTGAAACCTACGTCATCAGAAAAAGAAACCGTTCCAGACCGGAAGTAACTTTTCAGATTTTGATTAAAGATTACCAAGGTAAAACATTTTTTTAATATACACTCACCGGCCACTTTATTAGGTACACCTGTCCAACTGCACGTTAACACTTAATTTCTAAGCAGCCAATCACATGGCGGCAACTCAGTGCATTTAGGCATGTAGACATGGTCAAGACAATCTCCTGCAGTTCAAACCGAGCATCAGTATGGGGAAGAAAGGTGATTTGAGTGACTTTGAACGTGGCATGATTGTTGGTGCCAGAAGGGCTGGTCTGAGTATTTCAGAAATTGCTAATCTACTGGGATTTTCACGCACAACCATCTCTAGGGTTTACAGAGAATGGTCCGAAAAAGAAAAAACATCCAGTGAGCGGCAGTTCTGTGGGCGGAAATGCCTTGTTGATGCCAGAGGTCAGAGGAGAATGGCCAGACTGGTTCGAGCTGATAGAAGGGCAACAGTGACTCAAATAACCACCCGTTACAACCAAGGTGGGCAGAAGAGCATCTCTGAACGCACAGTACGTCGAACTTTGAGGCAGATGGGCTACAGCAGCAGAAGACCACACCGGGTGCCACTCCTTTCAGCTAAGAACAGGAAACTGAGGCTACAATTTGCACAAGCTCATCGAAATTGGACAATAGAAGATTGGAAAAACGTTGCCTGGTCTGATGAGTCTCGATTTCTGCTGCGACATTCGGATGGTAGGGTCAGAATTTGGAGTCTACAACATGAAAGCATGGATCCATCCTGCCTTGTATCAACGGTTCAGGCTGGTGGTGGTGGTGTCATGGTGTGGGGAATATTTTCTTGGCACTCTTTGGGCCCCTTGGTACCGATTGAGCATCGTTGCAACGCCACAGCCTACCTGAGTATTGTTGCTGACCATGTCCATCCCTTTATGACCACAATGTACCCAACTTCTGATGGCTACTTTCAGCAGGATAATGCGCCATGTCATAAAGCTGGAATCATCTCAGACTGGTTTCTTGAACATGGCAATGAGTTCGCTGTACTCAAATGGCCTCCACAGTCACCAGATCTCAATCCAATAGAGCATCTTTGGGATGTGGTGGAACGGGAGATTCGCATCATGGATGTGCAGCCGACAAATCTGCGGCAACTGTGTGATGCCATCATGTCAATATGGACCAAACTCCCTGAGGAATGCTTCCAGCACCTTGTTGAATCTATGCCACGAAGAATTGAGGCAGTTCTGAAGGCAAAAGGGGGTCCAACCCGTTAGTAGCATGGGGTACCTAATAAAGTGGCCGGTGAGTGTATATTCACTTGCACGGATTAATTGTTCACCACAAGACTAGTAATATGCGCTAACAAAGTAAATAGGTTCAATTTTGATTTCACGGGGACTTTAAGCTAATTTCATGTTCACTATCTTTAAGTTACGTTCTGTGAAGTTAATACCTTTTCTTTCTGAGTTACCAGTTCCTGAGGAGTTGCTAAGGGTCTCTCCGGCTGGGTGACAGACAAAAGGGTTTGAAACTCAGTTGTTTAAAGGACAACTCCGGCGCAAAATGAACCTTTGGTCTAATTACACATTGCTACCTAGTCAACCGTTATCTGAGATTTGTTTTCATGATTGCCGAATGTAAATAGTTGTATCTCTAAAAACAGTTTAGCCTATAACGCTACTACGCTAGTATAATGCTAGTATATGGGGCATAGAGTAATGACAAATAAAAATCGCTTGTTATTACCACTAACAAGGCTCAAAATAGCCCCACAGTAACACGACAGCATAATAAGGGTCCCTACATTCAAACCAGCATTGAGAACTTTGTCAGTGTCCATACAGTTTAATAAGAAGATATTTTATACACACAGTCAACTTCGCGAATACAGGAAGAAGCCATCTTTGAAAAATAGTCTCTAACAGTCGATCTACGAACGCCGATCCACAAAGGCCACTCATCTACGAACGCCTCCATAATGGCCACTCATCCGGGTTACCGCCCAGAACGTGACGTCGGTGAAAACCGTCTATATAAGTTTCCCCATGTCTCAGTTTAGATGTGTCTGTTTTTGTGAAATAGTTATTTTTTTGTTTTGGAAATAAAAACGTATAATTTTGAAAATATACTTTTTGACTCCTCATGCCTGCCAGTTTGGTCCCTCGCAGAATTCATCAACGATAGCTGGAAAATCCTGTCAATGGTGGGGAAAGAGTTATATATATATATATATATATTGTTCTGACCATAATTTTTTTCCTGGGAACCAAGCCTGAATGTCAAGTTACAGTCATATACTGTAATTCCATGTGTACAGATTTTTCTCAATGCATTATCTAATGTTTTTTGTGTATTAATCTCTTTCTTATTCACAGTAACAGTGTCTTCACAGAAAAGTCCATATGTCTGCCTTCCGTTTGATGGACAAACTTTGAAGCTTAAAAGCCTCATTCTACTAATTCTAATTGGCTAAAGAGTGTTTAATAATGCAGAGCTTTAAGGGTAGATGGTCACTCGTGGTTAAGAGGTTATCAATGTTTTAGGGCTCTAATGAGGATGAGGATGATGCTCTGAAGAAAGTGATACCTGGAACACCAGGCCTAATGTAAAGCTGAGCAGACTGCAGTTCATCACCGTTATACGCGACGCGTGATTGGCTGATCATATGGATGCACAGAGCCATGGTCAGTCCATTATTAATATTCAATATATCCATTATTTTTACTTGCTCGTTTTCTTTTACATGAAACTTGTCGCCATGATGATACAATAATGTCGTTGCTAAAGTGTTCAGTTTATTATTGTTTTTATGAATCATATTTTGAATTCATTTTGTAAGGTAACTCTTTTTTTATGTGTTTACAATTATGCACTAACTAACATGAGCTAACATTGAATAATATATTTTTACGGCATTTATTAACCAATTTAACCATTAATACAACACTCTAAAACAATGCTGGGTTGTTTTAACCCAAATTTGGGTAAAATATGGACAAACCCAAATTGTGGGTTAAAAATGCGATTTAAAATTTCACTTTCAACTGTAATTTGTTTTTATTTGCATTTTTAACCCAACATTTGGGTTTGTCCATATTTGACCCAAATTTGGGTTAAAACAACCCAGCATGTTTTGAACTTTTGAAATGTATTAGTAAATGATTAACTATTTGTTGTATGTTTTTTGTCTTTTTTATCGCATTTTGTCATTTAAAAATATACCTCTCTATTGGTTTTATTTCATTTTTATTTCAATGACTACACTCTAAAAAATGCTGGGTTGTTTTAACCCAACTTTGGGTCAAATATGGACTAACCCAGCCGTTGGGTTAAATTTTTACATTACATTTTTAACCCAACATTTCGGGTTTGTCCATATTTGACCCAAAATTGGGTTAAAACAACCCAGCATTTTTTAGAGTGTGGTTAAAGTAATAGTATACACTGACACTATAAAAAATGCTGGGTTGTTTCAACCCAAATTTGGGTCAAATGTCGACAAACCCAAATGTTGGGTTAAAAATGTACATTTGAAACTGAAATTTGAAGTTGGGTTAAAATTTTAAATTACATTTTTAACCCAACATTTGGATTTGTCCAAATTTGACCCAAATTTGGGTTGACGCAACCCAACATTTTTTAGAGTGTAACTAATTTTATTTGAGTTAAGTAACTATAATAACACTGTTTCTAGTGTAATTTTGTATTTTTGTCATTTTGATAACATTTTGTCAGAACGTCTGTTTAGTTTTTATTCATCATTTCAGTCCATCAAGTTAAACTTGATTCATGTGAATGTGTTAAGCTTATATATAAGTGGCTCTTAATGGATGTCATAAGTCAGAAGCTGTGCACGTGGATCTATGCCAGTCACAAATCCTATAGTTTATTATATATTCCTGTGACTGTATATGTTTATTAACGGTCGATGCCGAACAAAAGTGCAACATCACATGACGTTGTTTATGATCCGAACATCAATCAGGAGACAGGTTTTCTTTGTGATGGACAATCAAGCATTAAACGAGATCAGTGTAGCTAATCACGTTTATGTTTATGCATAATTGAAATGTCAGTGGATTATGGAGATGATCTCCACTCGTGGATTTGGCTGGAAGTGCATCAGAAAAGACGTTTCTTTTAGTTGAACTCATCCTCTTTGATGAATTATGGATATGTGGCCGATGTTTCCTGACATTTGTCCATCATGGAGTCTCCACCTTTAAAGAACAATCGTAAAAACGATTCGCTGAGTATCGATTAGCTGCGAGCCACTTAGACGTTTGACAAGCATATCTCCTCCTTTAGTGTTGTGAAATCCTCTGAAGATCATAGAAATTCTGATATACATTGACATATATATTGATATATTGACATATAGTGATATGTATTGACATATAGTGTTTATTATTGTTTTAAAAAAATTCATGAATACTTTTATTCAGTAAGGATGCATTCAATTGATCAAAAGTGACAGTAGAGACATTTATAATGTTATTGTATTTCTTATAAATGCTGTTCTTTAGAGCTTTCTGTTCATCAATGAATCCTGAGAAAATTTTACAAAAATATGAAGCAGCATATGAACCGTTTTCAACATTGATAATAATCATAAATGTTTATAGAGCAGCAAATCATCATATTATAATGATTTCTGAAGGATCATGTGACTGGAGTAATGATGCTAGAAATTCAGCTTTGATCACAGGAATAAATTACATTTTATAATATATTCACAGTAATAATATTTCAATAAATAGTACTTTTGATCAAATATATGCAACCGTGTAAATGTTTTCCGAAAACATTTAAACTGTACTGATCCCAAACAAATATTTTGAACAAATATTCATAACTTATTTTTGAATAAACACAAATAAATGGTCCAATTACAGTGGGAGCAATTGAGTTCAACGCCACCTTGTTTTACTTTATTGTAGTGTTTTAAAGAAGCCACAAAGAACCTGTAATAAAAACCCATGAAAATACATTTCCAAACAACACAAGAATTGTCAGCAGCCAAAAGTTGTTCTTGATTTAAAAAAAAGAACTATTTAGAAATGCACATATCATAAAACACACAAGAAGAACTTTTAAAGGTTTAAAACACAAGATTATGATTCACTCTGAATTAAAAAGTGACTTAAAGGGTTAGTTCACCCAAAATATGATGAAAATTATGTCATTAATGACTCAAATCATCATATCATTCAAAGACTGTATACTGTCCTTGTCCAGAAAGGAAATAAAGACGTCATCAAAGTAGTCATGTGACATCAGTGGGTTAGTTACAATGTTTCGAAGCATCGAAAATACATTAACTCTGACTTTATTCAGCATTGTATTGTATTGAACGCGGATCCACAACAGAACCGGAAGACAATACAATGCTGACTAAAGTCGTAGTTTTTGTTATTTTTGGACCAAAATGTATTTTCGATGCTTCAAAACATTGTAACTAACCCACTGATGTCACATGACTACTTTGATGACGTCTTTATTTCCTTTCTGGACAAGGACAGTATACCGTACACACATTTCCAATGGAGGGACAGTAAGCTCTAAAATATCCTAAACTGTGTCCTGAAGATGAACGGAGGTCTGACGGGCTTGGGACGGCATGAGGGAGAGTCATTAATCACATTATTTTCATTTTTGGGTGAACTAACCCTTTAACAGTCTGTGTTTGTTGCTTCTTTACTGTGAGGAGTTTGCCGTGCCGAACATGACGAAGGCTGGAGTTCATGAACAGCGTCCCACATAAAACACTGCCGACGTCACCTTGTGATGCTTCAACATGAAGGTACTGCTGCTTTAAATACTTGGGCCTAATATTTCATCTCTAAATGTTCATCTGTGTGTATATGTAAAGGCTAATAAATGTGTATATGCAGACCACTAAGTATATGGATTATAGACATTATTCTATTATTAGCTGCTTATGAGAGCAAGGAATTAAACATCCAGGAAGTTTGATCCGGTGTAAGTGCTTTGTGTTAAAATTTTGATGCCATCCTGAGGCTGTCCAGTTTTTAAAGAGCGTAAGAGTCCTGCTCTCAGATCTCCTATATTCAACACCATTAATGAACAAACACACTGTCAGGCAAATGGATTATTGACGCCTCGCAGCATTAGATCACACACACACACACACACACACACACTGACTGCCAGTGCAGGAGAACAGCAGGTGTGTGTGTGTGGCACAGCTTTATACTCAGTGTTTGGGAATGTTACTTTAAAAGTAAAGAACTACAGATGTGTTACTACCTAAAAAAGTAACGAATTACTTAGTTACTTTTTATGGAGGAGAAACAGAGAAAAATAAGAACAAATATTCTGTATATATATATATATATATATATATATATATATATACGTATATTAGGGCTGTGCAAAAATTAATTGCGATTAATCGCATCCAAAATAAAAGTCTGTGTTTACATAATATATTTGTGTGTGCTGTATATAATTATTTTGTATATATAAATACACACACATGCATGTATATATTTAAGAAAATGTGTTTTTCATATATAAAATATTTATATAATATAGATTATGTATTTATAAATATATACAGAATTTAAGCGCAAATAATTCTTAAATATATACATGCATGCATAGGTATTTATATATACAAAATAATTATAAACAGCACACACCAATATATTAATGTAAACACAGACTTTTATTTTGGATGCGATTAATCGCAATTAACTTTTGCACAGCCCTAATATATATAAATATATATATATATATATACACACATATACACTCACCTAAAGGATTATTAGGAACACCATACTAATACTGTTTGAACCCCTCTAATAATTAAAAGATAATTAACTCATTAATTCAGAAAAATGAGTAGATTTTGTTTCCTCAAGCGAATGCAATACGCTTCCTTAGAGCAAAAATACAGTAATATTGTGAAATATTATTCATAAAGACTTCACTATTATATCATAAAGACTTGTTTCATTACTGGATGAATCAATGTTTTTGAATGACTGATTCAATGACTTGCTCTTAAAGACCGCTTTTTTACTGGATGAATCAGTGTTTTTGAATGAATGATTCAATGACTCGCTCATAAAGACTTCAATTGTTTCATTACCGAATGAATCAGGGTTTTTAAATGAATGATTCAATGACTTGCTCTTAAAGACCGCTTTTTTACTGGATGAATCAGTGTTTTTGAACGAATGATTCAATGACTCGCTCATAAAGACTTCACTTGTTTCATTACCAAATGAATCAGTGTTTTTGAATGAATGATTCAATGACTCACTCATAAAGACATAAAGCGAATGCAATACGCTTCCGTAGAGCAAAAATACAGTAATATTGTGAAATATTATTCATAAAGACTTCACTATTATATCATAAAGACTTCACTTGTTTCATTACTGGATGAATCAGTGTTTTTGAATGAATGATTCAATGACTCGCTCATAAAGACTTCACTTGTTTCATTACCGAATGAATCAGTGTTTTTGAATGAATGATTCAATGACTCACTCATAAAGACATAAAGCGAATGCAATACGCTTCCGTAGGGCAAAAATACAGTAATATTGTGAAATATTATTACCGTGCTATATGTAAAAGAACTGTTTTCTATTTGAATATATTTTTAAAATGTATTTTTATTCCTGATTTCAAAACTGTGGACTTTTTTTCTATGAATTGCACGTTTATTTCGTCATTCAGACTGTATATCTCATAGAAACTCTGAGGAATCCTCAATTCTGAGGAAGAAAAGTCATAATTGTGAGATAAAAGTTGCAAATACACCAAGTTTCCATACAAAGCTGATTTTTCAGCGACATTGCTCCAGTCTTCAGTGTCGCATGAATGTACAGTCGAAGGTCTTTTGAATACTCAGAGGCACAAGCATGGAAGAATTTGATGTAAATGTCAAATATGGTTGGCTTTAGTGTGAAAGTTAAAAGTTGCCTATATTAGATAAGTTGTTTGAGTGATTCATTTGTATTAATTGTGATGTATATTTTGTAAATGTGTGTTCTCATAGTAACGGTATGCAGTGCCAACGAGTGAAGTTGTGCTTTACATCAAGGACCACAATGGAAATAAGTTTTGATTAAACTTTGTGTTATGATTATTTTAATCAAATCAAATCAAAATGATCCTTCAGAAATCATTCTAATATGCTGATTTGCTGCTGAAGATCAACATTTATTATTATTATCAATGTTAAAAACAGTTGTGTCACTTCATATTTTTGTGGCATATTTTTGTATTTTTTTTCAGGATTCTTTGAGAAAAGAACAGCATTTCTTTAAAATGGATTCTTTTGCAACATTACACATATTTTACTGTATTTTTGATCAATTGAATGCATCCTTGCTTAATTTCAATATTAATTTCTCTTAAATATATATGTATGCATGGAACTCATGTCAATGACTAAAGTATAAAATAAATGAAACCTTTTGATCATAAACTATAATTTTTTTCCGTCTTACTTTTTTTTAAAACTTTTTTAACCATGTGAAACTTGCGTATAAATATGGAAAATCAAGAGAGAACCAACAAAGTATTAATAACTGTAAAAAAAATATTGTTGGTTTAACTTTTAAAAAAAATGAAGTAACCTGGTTGCCTTAATTTTAAATTCAATGAAATTAAAAAATTGAGTTCATACAATGAAGGACATTGATTCAATCACCAGAAACACAAAATATTATATTATCTGAATATTGATTTATATTATATTATTTAAGTTGATTTGACAAAAGAAAAAAAATGTTGTGATTACAAATCATGATTTTTTTTACAGTGTTGTAGTCAGTGTTTTTTCCTGTTATCTGTATTAATAAATAAAACCGCTATAGTTTAGCTTTTTTTTTTGCCTAATTATTTGTTTTATGATGCCTTCATATTTAACATAAAACAACTATTTTAATGGTTCAATTGACCTTGTAAGGTTATTTAAAAAAAAATAGTCCCCTTAGATATCACTTTTGGCCACTTCTGTATATAAACATGCGATCAATCCATATATTCGACAGGCTCGTGTTATTTCCTAGCGGACTTAAAAGAGAGCATGACCGTGATAAAATCTGTTCTTCTAGAAGCCCCGTTGTAATGATGATGAGTTCTTAGTAAAACAACAATCAAATGGAGCGTCCCTCAGGGGCCACAGGACCCTCCTCCCGCGGGCTCTCATTGGACCCGCGCTGGATCGCTTCTGTCCGGGCGTGTGTGTTTGACCGGAACGCCTGTGGCTTCCAGAGCAACTGTGGAGATGAAGTGAGGAAGTCCTCCTGTAAAGCGTCAACGTGAGCGCGTAAAACTCACTCCGGGGACACTTTAATTTACTCTTAAAGAACTCGAAACAGTTTTCGCACTTGTGCCTCGGGATACGAAGTGATTTATTATTTTTGTGGACACATTTTCTCAGGATACACGCGTTTTTCGGACGCGTCCCGCGCGCGCGCGCCGCTGGAGAGCCTGATGTCCGCTGGACGAAAACACATTTCTTTATCAGCATGAGTTAGATTCACCACTTCACCCACTCGAGACAGACTTTTAACGCGTTTTATTTGTACAAAAGGGAGTCGTTAACTGGAAGTGTCCGCCGGGACTCATGCATGGAGGATCCAGAGTAAGGGTGCCCGAAGGATGCCGTCCTGTCCCGGATCCAGGACATCTGACATCCTTCACTTCTGAGAGCGATGGCTTCTGAGGTTGTGTGTGGTCTGATCTTCAGAGTGCTGTTGCCGGTGTGTCTGGCGGCAGGTGAGTGTGTGTGTGTGTGTGTCTCCATCAACAGCTGAGTTCAGTGCGGAGTTACGCAGCAGGTGCGCTAGATTATCAATTAAAGGAAGTTAATAGAAGTTTGCGTGTGCAGAAATTATATTAGTGTTAGTATATTTGCTATTCCTTAATGTTTCCATTTATAAACTCATAAAATCACATACTAATATAGCCTACTCAATGTAAAAATTATCATCAGTAGGCCTAAGTCATGGCAACATATGTTTTTACGGTAAACTAAGTAAGCAATTTCAACTTTTTTAATAAGTTTGAACTCGAATTTTTAAGTCAGATTAATATTGAAATATCGTGTAAAAAAAAAAACTGGCAGCAACTGAATTTAACATTTGAAGTTGAAAAGGTGGAATTTTTTTTTAGTTCTCTACAATTTTTGGTAGAAATTATTTTTGTAAAATGTTGCGGTACCACTCATATTAATCACCAAGTAAGTGTTAAATTAATTATTTTATTTATTTATTTATTTGAGCCCATGCTAGTATAAAAAGTGTCTAAGAAAAGTACACCGTGAGACTGGGGCTAGTTGTCACGCTTTTATATAGTAAATACTTCTCAGGGTTTATTTTTTTAATGCCATTTTGTTCTGAATAAACATAAAATACCTTTTTAACAACATATCTGCATTTAAAACCTTCTGTAAACAGTAATACAGTTTTAAATCACAAACCAATTAATGAAAGGGGTTAAGGCTCAGAAATTGTAACTGAGTTGATAAAATTGCAGTTTTTGAGGATGTAAATCTCAATTTGTCTTTATTTATGGAAGTGTTTGAACTCAACAAAGCTATGTTGGCGAAAACAGTTTTGACTCGAAACTGAAATATAGACCCTATGACAACTAATCTCATGTGCAATTCCATTTTCCCAATGCATTTTTTTATTTCAGTAGATAAAGATTAGGTAGATTATTAACTTAACAAAATAATATAATGTAAGATTGTGGCTCAGTAGAGAAATGTCAAATAAAACATTTTACAACTGTTACAAAAATTAACTAATTCTCCGGTTGCGGTAAGTCTTTTTAATAACATGCTTCCATTTTGTTTTAATATGAGTAATGCAATTTTTTTTAAAAATTTTTTTTTATGCCTGAACTTTCTCTTAATGTCATCTAATGTGAAACACACCAGGATGAAGAAGATTTATTAATCCATCGAATGAATCCCTATTAGACTTGTTTGTTATGTTCCTGTGATTTTACTCAGTGTGTGTGTGTGTGTGTGGAATTGTTCTGTGTTTCTATATTATTGACAGAGTAATACACTGAAACCCTCAGTGTTTTGAAGATACCATTGACCTTTGAATTAAGAATGTTTTTTTGTTTTATTAATTATTTTTAATTTTTGATTGATTCCATTTAATCCTGTGTCCTTTTTATCATTATTTAGACATTTTCACATTTCCCCCACACATTTTATTATTCATTTTTTGACACCTGCTCTGAAATGTATAACATATCAATTCATTCCTGTATATATATATATGTGTATATATATATATATATATATAAGAGGAGACTCGTGCATAGAAAATGCAATTTTGAAAATGCATTTTTAATATATAAATGGAATTTTATACTGGAAAACAAGACAAAAATACTGCGCAAGATAAATGATTTAATTTTTTTTACCGTGAAATAATGGTAATGCATGAAGGGACGGTGTGTGTTTTTGAAAACATGTTATTCAAATAATTAAAAACGTCTTATTGATGAAGGTTTTATCCCTTTTGCTGATGTGTTTTATGCTGTTGGTACTTACGGTCGCTTTTACCATCATGATATTAATCTAGAAGCTTTACAGTGTGTTTAAGGGTCTTCATCAGATCTGTGGTTGCCCACAATTAATCCACATTCACATTTCCTCTTATTTATGTATAATTAGCCCTGAGAAATTGACACATGCACGCAGACACACACACACACACACACTCGGGTTCCTCCTATAGGTATAGATAAGATCCACTCTGTAAGATGGTAATGTATCTCTCGACAGCCTAAGTATTTCGTTCTTTTTTCTTCCAAACGCGATTGCCAAGCCGTGGAGCATCTCCATTAATCGGTGGAAAGTCGTTTTAACTGCATGAATTAATAATGTGGCATCAGAGCGGAGAAGAATCGGCTGCCCATTATCGTAAACACCTTTAATATTTGATGATTTTATTTTTTCGCTTGAAGTAGTACTAAGCAAAGGTCATCCGCTGGAAACATAACAGAGGACGGACAGGAACAATAAATGCTCATGTTCAGACGTCAGCACTAACATCTCTCAGATCAAGAGATCTTTAGGTCACTTTTGTTTCTTTTTTTTATATAGAAGTCACGATTCTGAATAGACAACAACTAAACAAAACAGTATATTTAAAAGTATATGTAATTAATTTGAATCGTTTTTTAAAAACTCTTGATTGAATAATTCACTCTCTGACAAAAAGGTACAAAAGCTGCCGCTGGGATGGGATACCCTTCAAAAGCTTCTATGGATCAATTATGTACATTTTTGGCACCAATATTTGTGCCTTTAAGTTACTTAAAAGCACTCTTTAGGTAGAAAGGTGGACCTTTTGAAAAGGAAATGCACAGTGACAGATTTTGTACCTGTTTTTCTGAGAGTAAATATTTTTATATGAATATTGAATGAATGATTCAATGACTCGATCATAAAGACTTCACTTGTTTCATTACTGGATGAATCAGTGTTTTTGAATGAATGATTCAATGACTCGCTCATAAAGACCGCTTTTTTACTGGATGAATCAGTGTTTTTGAATGAATGATTCAGTGACTCACTCATAAAGACTTCACTTGTTTCATTACCGAATGAATCAGTGTTTTTGAATGAATGATTCAATGATTCACTCATCAAGACTTCACTTGTTTCATTACTGAATGAATCAGTGTTTTTGAATGGATGATTCAATGATTCACTCATCAAGACTTCACTTGTTTCATTACTGAATGAATCAGTGTATTGAATGAATGATTCAATGACTCACTCATAAAGACATCACTTGTTTCATTACTGAATGAATCAGTGTTTTGAATGAATGATTCAATGACTCGCTCATAAAGACTTCACTTGTTTCATTACTGAAAGAATCAGTGTTTTGAATGAATGATTCAATGACTCACTCATAAAGACTTCACTTGTTTCATTACTGGATGAATCAGTGTTTTTGAATGAATGATTCAATGACTCACTCAAGGACTTCACTTGTTTCATTACTGGATGAATCAGTGTTTTTTGAATGAATGAATATTGAATGAATGATTCAATGACTCACTCATAAAGATTTCACTTGTTTCATTACTGGATGAATCAGTGTTTTTTGAATGAATATTGAATGAATGATTCAATGACTCACTCATAAAGATTTCACTTGTTTCATTACTGGATGAATCAGTGTTTTTTGAATGAATATTGAATGAATGATTCAATGAATCACTCATAAAGATTTCACTTGTTTCATTACTGGAAGAATCAGTGTTTTTAAATGTATATTGAATGATTCAATGACTCACTCATAAAGACTTCACTTGTTTCATTATTGACACAAATTTGACACATTTTTTTGATACTCTAAATAAACATTTAGTTTGTTTTTGTGAACTGAGGAACAGGCTGAATTCTATGGAAGGTCTTCAATCAGAACAGAAGTGTGTAAAGTGTAGTCGTTCTCCTGCTGTCACTCTGAGCTCTTCTGAAAGGCTTTCAGTTCTCCAGAAACATTAATTATTCCTGAGATGGATCATGGTTTGAACGCGGTCAGTGTGGTTTTGCTACTCAAGGAATTACATGACCGAGGCGTCGTGAAGGAATTAAGATGGGATTTAGATTTAGCCACATTTTCATTATCATCTCAAGTTAACTGTCCACGACAGAACATCATGTTAAAAAGAAAATATCTGATTAGATGTGTTTGTGCGCTGCTGTATGTGTTGCATTAGTCCAAAAAAGAAGGAAATATTGTAAAAAAAAAAAAAAATGCATTTTCATATTTTGCCCTGGTTTCTTGTTTGCTTGTGCAAAACTCACATCATGTTTTGAACTTTTGGAGTGTGTGAGGGTTGTGGCCTCAGGTGACGCGGTCCGGATTAAACTGGTGTGTGTTCTGTCCGCTGCTGGTTTTATTAACAGGATGAATGTCTGTGCTGTAATCTCCAAGACTGCGTTTAATGGCCTCCATCTCTGTGTTTAGTGGTCCTGCACTTATCTCGCACCGGTGTGTGTGTGTGTGTGTGTGTCTGCATGAACCAACGCCACAGCACTTTTCTGTCAAATGCTCAATATTTTTACAGACTCCAGATTATATGATCTCTGTTGCACATAGTTGATAGTTAATTAATCTTATACATTACTGTTGGCTACTGTGCATCACACACACAATTTTATATATACGTATATGTGTGTGTGTGTGTGTGTGTGTGTGTGTGCACTCTAAAAAATGCTGGGTTGCTTCAACCCAAATTTGGGTCAAATATGGAAAAATCAAAATGTTGGGTTAAAAATGTAATTAAAAAATGTACAGTTGAAAGTTGAAGTTGGGTTAAAATTTTAAATTACATTTTAACCCAACATTTTTGTGCATATTTGACCCAAATTTGGGTTAAGTGTGTGTGTGTGCAATGCATAATGAAATTATATATATATATTTCTAATCAAATATTTTTCATTAGAATTTGAAATGTATTTATTTATTTATTTATTTATTTTTACAGCAGGGTTGTAATGTGCGGGTGTGTATAAGATATTGTTTTTATTATATTATAGTATTTATATATTTTAATATCTATTTTAATCTATTTTAACAATAGCGTCGGCTGTACAGGGTACTTGAGTTAATATTGAAAAAAGGGTCTTACATTTTTGGTTCTTCATTTCAATGTTTAAATATTAATGGTCATCGTGTTTGGTTTTTAATTGTTTTCTATTCACTCAAGCTTTTGACAAATGCTTTTATCCAGAACGAATTGCATTGAATTCAAGGATGTATTATTTAAGTGCAATTTTGTTCAAAGTTTATTTTTTTTTTTATTATTGTAGTAATATGTTTCCATAAGCATAATATAGTTATATTATATAGGACTTGAACACTCGTTAATGGAATCATTGAGGGTCTGGAATCGTTAAATCTGAGGCAGAATCATTAAATTCCTTACAATAACTGCATCCATAATTGGCACAAACGAGTCTCCTCAGAGTCGTTTATTTAATGTGAACATAAACCGTTTGTGTTTATACTGGATTTTAGTTTTCTTTTTAATATCACCTTTCCATGTTGTGCTTGTGGTTCAATATTTACGACTCTTGTTATTGATAATAGCGGATGTAAATCCTGCACTTTCGTTCTCATTCCTGCTTTTTCTGTCAAAAATGTGGGTTTTGTCGAGATGTTGGATATTTACCAATCTTGACCAATATAATTAGTATTTCGGCTGTTTTTACATTTGTAAGTGATGTAATGGCATGCTGTTGTTGTATTTGGACAGTTCCAGAGAATAGGATGTATTTGCTGTCAGGTTCACACAAGGTCTTCTGTGAAATATGTGTGTGTAATATTCCCAGTATCTGCTCATAAAATGGCAAACATGTGAGATTAACAACAAGTCGAGCTGAAGAAGAGGTTCAAATCAAGCCATGGAAAGATAGAATCAGGAAAGTTTGGAAAACTCTGGGATAAAGGCCTGTAAACGAGACCGCATTCTCACGGCCATATTAAACATAAAATGTTAATAATACAGTATGTGTCAAATCCATTTGTAGCACTTTCAAAATACAGGTGGTTTTAAATCCGCGTTACAGAAAATCATGGTGTTTATTTATTAATATGTACTTTAAATCATGGCAGATCCAAAATGATGCAAACCTGAAGTGACACTTTGAAAACCGATATCTGATAATCCTGAAGTCCGATTTATTGATCTTATTGATTTATTGGTCTGTTGTTCCATCTATCCATCTATCCGTCTTTCTGTCTATCCGTCTTTCTGTCTATCCGTCTTTCTGTCTATCCGTCTTTCTATCTATCTATCCATCTATCCATCTATCCATCTATCCATCTATCTATCGTTCTATCCATCTATCTATCTATCTATCTATCTATCTATCTATCTATCTAGCTATCTAGCTATCTATCTATCGTTCTATCTATCTATCTATCTATCTATCTATCTATCTATCTATCTATCTATCTATCTATCTATCTATCTATCTATCTATCTATCTATCTATCTATCTATCTATCTATCTATCTATCTATCTATCTATCTATCTATCTATCGTTCTATCTTTCTGTCCATCTATCCATCTATCCGTCTTTCTATCTATCCGTCTATCTATCTATCTATCTATCTATCTATCTATCTATCTATCTATCTATCTATCTATCTATCTATCTATCTATCGTTCTATCTATCTATCTATCGTTCTATCTATCGTTCTATCTTTCTATTTATCGTTCTATCTTTCGTTCTATCTTTCTGTCTATCTATCTATCTATCTATCTATCTATCTATCTATCTATCTATCTATCTATCTATCTATCTATCTATCTATCTATCTATCTATCTATCTATCTATCTATCGTTCTATCGTTCTATCTATCGTTCTATCTATCGTTCTATCTTTCTATTTATCGTTCTATCTTTCGTTCTATCTTTCGTTCTATCTTTCTGTCTATCTATCCATCTATCTATCTATCTATCTATCTATCTATCTATCTATCTATCTATCTATCTATCTATCTATCTATCTATCTATCTATCTATCTATCTATCTATCTATCTATCTATCTATCTGTCTATCTATCCATCTATCGTTCTATCCACCTATCGTTCTATCGTTCATCCATCGTTCTGTCTATCGTTCTGTCTATACATCCATCTATTCTATATGAACATATTCTTATCTATAGGAGCATCATTTAAAAATGTATAATACAGTATGTGTGCTCTTTTTCTTCTAGATTACTCTAATAATGTGTTTTTCTATCTTCTCTCCACAGCATGTCTGTTCAGGTACAATGTACTGTCCTTCATCTACCTCCTCTACCTCCTCCTCATCCCTCTCTTCCCAGAACCCTCCAGCATCACCATGCAAGGTAAGACGCTTCGCCACACGACACTAACTCTTCCCTATCGGAGCGCATCCGTCTTCTCCTGAACCGGCTTTAGAGCCTCATGCAGAGAATCTAATGGAGCGGAAGCGTTAACACAACACTCACTGAGAGGACTACAGCGCTGTAGATCATGAGTCGAGGTGTGCGTTCAGACGGAAGAACTTCATGCGCTCCTAGAGGAGAATCCAGATTTAGGGCGTAAGGAAGGTGTGCTGATCACGCTGAATAATTGAGAAGAACATTATCTGTGTTAATCCACTGAGACTGATCGCCCATAATAGAGTCTGTTGAGGCCAATATAAAAGAGAAACATCAACTCGGTTTGAATCGTGTGATCCTAAACACTTTTGCTATGTCACTCTCTTAAAGCACTAGTTCACTTTAAAAAAAACTTTTGCTGATAATTTACTCACCCCCATGTCATCCCAGATGTCCATGTCTTTCTTTCTTCAGTCGAAAAGAAATGAAGGTTTTTGATGAAAACATTCCAGGATTTTCCTCCATATAATGGCCTTCAATGGGAACCAAACGGTTCAAGGTCCAAATGAGAGTTTCGGTGCAGCTTAAAAGTGCTTTAATGACACCAGATGATGAATAAGGGTCTTTTCTAGCGAAAGGATCGCTCATTTAATAAATAAATAACAAAGTTTTAGTTTTATAAGCTCAAATGGTCGCCTTGCTCTGTTCTGTGATGCGCGTTCGTGACTTTTCTGTTCGAACTCGTTCATCAAAATGAACAAATCTTTTTCCGAGTCAATTCGTTCATTTCATTCGTTGAATCAACCAAATGACTCGGAAAAAGATTTGTTCGAACAGGAGAGTCACGAACGCGCATCACAGAACAGAGCAAGGCGAGCATTTGTGCTTATAAAACTCATAGGCGTCATTTACGGGGGGGACGGGTGGGACATTTTATTTATGTACATCAGGAAGCTACAGGACATCGTCTTTCAAAACATGACCTACTCGAAAGACAAAAAAAGAATGAATGCGTCATTGTACCCAGCACTTTTGAAAATGCCCTTCCGAGTACGTCTCTGTCCCCAGCACATTTCAAACCAAACTGACGCCCATGATAAAACTTAAACTTTGTTATTTATTTATGAAATGAGCGATCGTTTTGCTTGATAAGACCCTTATTCATCGTCTGGTGTCGTTTCAAGCCCTTTGAAGCTGCACTGAAACTGTCTTTTGGACCTTGAACCGTTTGGTCCCCATTGAAGTCCATTATATGGAGAAAATCCTGGAATCCTGGAATCCTGGAATGATTTCATCAAAAACCTTAATTTCTTTTCGAATGAAGAAAGAAAGACATGGACATCTTGGATGACATGGGGGTGAGTAAATTATCAGCAAACGTTTTTTTGAAAAGTGAAATACTCCTTTAAATATGAAATAATGTGCATTATTTAAATGTAACAATTGGGGTTGAACAGAAAGTCCAGGGTCGAATTATATGCATGTTAGAAACAAATCAACATGGTGAAATTAATACTTTGAATTTAGTCATAGTCACACTACTGGTTAAACGTTGTACATTTTTAAACAGTCTCTTATTATGCTCACCAAGGCTTAATTTATTTGATCAAAAATACTGTAAAATAACCGTTTTGTATGTGAATATATTGCAGACAGTAAATTCAGTTACGTGATCCTTCAAAAATCACTCTAATATGATGATTTGCTGCTCAAGAATCATTTATGATTATTATCCATGTTGAAAACAGTTGTTCCTGATACAATTTTTAGGATTTTTTGATAAGTTGTATAAAGATATTGGTATAATATAAAAGAACAGCATTATTTGAAACAGAAATCTTTTTATTGTCACTTTTGATCAATTTAATTGGTACTTGCTTAATAAAAGGCTTAAAAAGAAGTCTTACTGACCCCAAGCCTTTGAACAGTAAGGGTGGTTTATTTTCAATGTAATGTAATGTACATTAGAGTCAGGACAGTGTTTTTATGGTCCACTTCTGCTCTGTTCATGGAGGTGTGTTCGGATGCTTGTTTGCCGATTGTTAATTATGTATAAGAGAAGGTTTTCATGGAATAAGAGGAAAGAGGAAGAGGACTGGACATTTTAAGTGGTCTACTCGAACTCATCAATAGTTCAGTAGACCTGTGCTCATATAAGAGCAATGCATGCTGGGCTTCACACACATTCATCAGGGCTTATTGGGATTCTGGCTGTGGGATTATGCAAATGTTGGAAATATTAAAAAAAAACAATTATGGGATGCTGTTAGTGCTGTTAACATGAGATTTTTCATTATGCAATTGGAAAATAGAAATGCCTGCAGGTTTCTGTGGAAAAAGTGGTGCATGCAAACCCATTCACACATGCACGTCTGTGTTTTTGCTTTGTTCACGACAGACAAAACATTTCAGAGGCTTTGAATGAACGACTCTGTTCCTATGATAACATAAATTGATAGTCTCTATAGAATTGAGTTCACTTTTACATTCTGGTCACGTTTCAGTTCAAATTTTATGCACAGTTTAGGTATAACCTATGTCTGAAAAATTATACTTAAACACTTATTGTGCGCGTCACTGTAAAAAAAATATTAAACTGTTAAATTATTTTTAGTTTAATTCAAAAAATTAAGTTATCTGGTTGCCTTAAAAATGTTGAGTTCATTGAAGTTAAAAATGTAATTTAACAACAGAAACCCGAAATATTTTGTTATTTGAACCATATTAAATATCATATTAAAATAAGTTAATTTTGAAAAATCTTGAAAATATAAAGTTTTCACAGTGTATATATTTCTATTTTAAATAAATACTGTTCTTTTTTGTAAACTTTTATTCATCAAAGAATCCTGAAAAAAGTATCACATGGTTATAAAAAGAAAAAAATATCACAACTTTTTCCAACATTGATAAAAAAAGTAAAAATCACAATAATAGGGTGATTTCTGAAGTGTGTGTATATATATATATATATATATAATTAATAATACAGGTGATTGAAGTGTGGTCAAAATTTTGTTTTGTCTCTCCTGTAAATATATGTTTATATATATATATATATAAACATATATTTACAGGAGAGACAAAACACAATTTTGACCACACTTCAATCACCTGTATTATTAACCTTAAATCAGAAACATTGCAACCACAGGCATACTTACATGAATGAGTATTTAAGTCAAAAAATTGTCAAAAAAACCCAAAAAAACATGAATATGTTCTAAAACTTAAAAAAAAAAAAATATCAAATACGTCAGATAAGCCTTTTAGTTGCTTTATTCAATACAGTTTGATCTCAGATAGGTATTTTTGGCACCATTGGAGCTCATCGAGACCTTTATTTTGATATAAAGAACTCATATTCGCCCAAAATGCCACTTACGCCCCTCTGGCTCCAAGCCCTCGATACTGTATATACATAAATATGTGTATATACATACTATATATATAATTTAACTATTAAATCTTATGATTCAAGGAATATTTTTACCCAAAGTCCACGGATTTATGAAGGTTGAAAATGTTTATGTTTGTCAGTGTAGAAGAATTGGAAGTGTTGTCAGTTCTGGCAAGTGTTTTATCTATGATGTGTGAAGCTGTGCGATGTTGGCTGTGTGTTTCTGTAATGTTATCCAAACACTGAGGTGAAGCGATGTCTTCTGTCAGGTTCTGTTAAGCGTGGAACCTTCCAGTTATTGGGAATATAGATAAGAATATAGATAAGCGAGATAAAGTGACTTTTTATGTTGTATTTCTCTTGGCTTGATTCATCTTTGTCTGATATTATCAAGTGTTGTGTGTATTTGAGGTCCCACACATTTCCAGTACGTGACAAAAATAAAGTTAACCTTTTATTTTCCTTCCAAGGCAGATGCTATTTAAGCTTTCTCTGCGTCTTATCCGGTACAATATATTTATTTTTTACACATTTGACAGATGCTTTCAGCAAATTACTCTGCATTGAAGCGTTACATGTGCGTTCCTTGGGAATCGAACCAATAACCTTGATTTTTAATTTCTATATGTCAAAATACTCTTGAAGGAGATTCTGCGGTTAAAGGGTTAGATCACCCATAAGTTTAAATTTCCCCATATTTCACTCACACTCAAGCCATTCCTAGGTTTATATGATTTTCTTCTTTCAGAGTTATATTAAAAATATCCTGGCTCTTCCCAGCTTTAATGAATGGTAAATTTGAAGCCCAAAAATGTGCATCCATCCATCATAAAAGTAATCCATACCATACGCCTCCATGGGGTTCATAAAGGCCTTCTGAAGCGAAGCCATGCAAATTTGTAAGAAAAATATCCATATTTATAACTTTATAAACTGTAATCACTGGCTTCCGGTAACATCCGTACGCGGGCCTAGACCTTTGACCCTGTGCTTTTGGCCATATACATATCAGTATCTGCACAAAATTGCATATTTATCCTCAGTTTGGGCCTCTGAATAAAACTGAGCTGTGTTTATCCTCCATATTCTCACTATATCACACTATATTAGCCAGAAAAACCTAATGCATCAAATAATATATACATCTGCAACGTTTGGATATTTAAGTAGCTTTTATAAACTTGCCTTAGAAAAAAACATTTCTTTTCTGCATTCAAGACAAAAGACACTGGCATATTTTAAGATATGTACACATACTGTATATATATATATATATATATATATACAGTATATGATTTATTATATATAATAAAATATATTTATAACCAAAAAATTAGTGCATGCATTTTTATTTCAATTTATATGAATATATAATATTTTATTATATATGTATATATATATATATATATATATATATATGCTAATATTTTATTATAGTTTAGTGTGTGTATATATATATATAATTTTATTTTGTTATTTTGTGTTTAATTTCATTTTATATATATATATCATTTATTATGTATAATAAAATATATTTTGTAACAAAAAATTAAAAATTTGTTCATGCATTTTTATTTCAATTTATATAAATACATAATATTTTATTTTATTTAGTTTATATATATATATATATATATATATATATATATATATGTATATATATGCTAATATTTTATTATAGTTTAGTGTATGTATATATATATATATATATATATATATATATATATATGCTAATATTTTATTTTAGTATTTTATTTTATGTTTAATTACATTTTATTTATTTTATTTTAACATATGTCCGTGCAAATTGCTTAGTTAGAACGGCTCAAACATGCATTTTAGTCTGGAACCCCTTTTTTTTCTACTTTTTCCCTGATTGTTATTTCATATGTCAGGCATTGCAGGGTTAAAGGGCCCCTGGAGTCTTTGAGGCCCCAAATGAAAGCTGAAGTTGCCGCAGAGGTGGAAAAAAGTGCACAGTCAATTGAAAGTGGCAGTCAGGAGAGATGCAGTGTTGCTTTTTTACCTTATTGAATGTGGATGAAATATGTGACATGAATGAGGGTGTTGGCAGAGATCTGCTTGCTAAACTACACATAAACTTACAAGGCCGTCCCTCTGTTAGGGAGAAATGAACACAAATGTGTTTTATAGAGTAAATCAGGACAAGCCGTATCTGGCAGCGCTTCTCACCGTCTGGATTCTTACGATTATGTCTCACTTGTGGCTAAAATGATCTCCATTAGGACGCATTACATGTGATGGTTCGCACAGCCATGCTCAGGCCTGCGCCGCATCGGAAAATATCGATTGTTGGTAGAGAAAAACACTCTAAAAATACTTTAATACTTCATTTGACCTTGGTGTTATGCTATTTGAGAGTGCTAAAACAAAGAGGCTTTCACGATTAGCTGTTGTTAGTCTTGTAAGAACAACACCGAACGCTTCTGCTGAAGGAAAGCAGTAACACAAGCTCCATTAGCATCATCTCCGATAGCTGGAGCTGCTTCATAAACACAGTACAGCCACGCTTTCATTGAGTTGTGTATTCTGATTTTTCTCAACTTTTAGTTTTTTTGTTTGAGATCTAGAAGCGGAGTAGATCCAGACAGGGCTTAGATTAAGCCTTAGTTCAATCAGGACATTTAAGTCGCTTTTATTAACTTGCCATAAAAAAAACCCATTTCTTAGTGCATCTTGAGACAAAACAATGGCACTCACATATTTTAAGATATGTCAATGTATATTATAATAAAACATATTTTATAACAAAAAAAATTAGTTAGTAATTAGCATTTTTTATTTAATTTTATATTAGTTTTAATATATAGCTAATATTTAATTGTATTAGTTTATTTATACATAAATATATATACTGTATTTAAAAAAAAAAAAAATTTAAGATATGTCAGTGCAAATTGCTTTTAGTTAGAATGGTTTAAACATGCATTTTAGTCTGGAACTAGTCTTATCTTTAATCTCTTAAATGGTAAAACAAAAGTCTGTTTGGAATTTTGGCCGGAAAAACTGGAATTGTGATACAGTTTAATGTGATTGATAAACTTCAAAAGCAGATGATTTAATTAAATAAATGTTAGCGCTTTACGTTCAAAGTGAAAACATGTCACAGGCTCGCGGTTTCGGAGCATTCGCAAACAATGAAAATGTCAAGCGATTGCTTATCTACTATTGATGAATTATGACAAACTTTACTTTATGGTGTTTGATAAGTGTAAGATGGTTGTCATTTTATCTCCATTTCTTGATGAGCAGCTGAACGCAATGCATATGCTTTTCAAAATAAGAGTCCTGGTGTATTTCTTGCTTGTTTATAATTAAAAGTCCAAAATCCATTGACCTCAAATTCATATGTATTGATAAAACATTTTCAGTGCACATGCATAACCAGAATAAAACATCTCTTGAGCATTTTAACCCCTTAACTGTCACCGTCCCGGTACCGGGACGCCTAACTTTACTTCACTATATTTCTATTAAATCCTAATCTAATTATGACTAATTATATATTGTTGGAAAGGTCTAAGACTTCTAATTAAATATTCGACCCCTGTTTTGTGTTAAAAATTATGTAGGAAGAGTAATTAATGAATTTATGACAAGAGTGCACCTAAAAAAATCTGCATCATAACAGGAGATTTGACCTTTGTCACAAAAAGTTGATGCACCCACTTTTAATCATTGAAACTTCTGTTTTTATGCTAAAAGTTCATAATAAAACATATAATCTAGTATTTTTCAATAAAAAATAAAATTTATAGTATAACATTATCCTCTAAAAATTATAATATATATGTATATATTATCCTCTAAAATACAATAATATTTTTTATCGCCTTTTTTTATTATATCACATATTTTAGTAGTTATCATAAATTAGGTATCATTTGAAAGCTTATAAACTCAGAATTCATCCTGTGAAAACCATTTCATAATTGAACGTTGCGTTACCATAGAAACGGTACTTATTTTATGAGGCTCCTCCCCTTTTGACATCCTTATATTTCATAATTTATGATCAAAACCTTTTCTAATCTTTGACAAAAACACATATTGTCAGAAAGGTCTGAGTCTCAAGGTTCCAAATTTTGTTGACAAAAATTGATATTTGGACAGAAATGTATTAATTTATTAAAGGCAGAATGTACACAACTAAATTCAATGGAATTCAGTGGCACCGGTGGCTATTTTTGGTACTACACCTAAACAAAATCTCATGGGAACTTTCAATTTTTGTGATATCAACTTCAAATTTGGAACATAACTTGGTTAGATTTATGGCTTTGATTTTATAGTAATTTTAGAGTAAAAATATTTTGTAAAATATATATTTTATATAAAATAAAAAATAAATAGTACAGTATATTTGATTTACTGTGAATTAAAACTTCCATAACTTTTTCATACTTTCATTTTTTGAAGTGTTTTCACTTCAGCAATAATCTGCTGAGTGTTTTCTTTAAAACAAGACCAAACTTGGGTATATATTCCAAGGCATTCTTGAATTACAACCATTTAAGTGTGAATAGAGCATTTAACCCCCATTCTCAAAAAGGGGGGGTGACAGTTAAGGGGTTAAAACCTGAACGTGTACCGCACCATTTGATATGCATGTGTTTTTGATGTATGCATTAATTTGTGCTGGTCTTAAAACTCTCGTATTTGCATGAAATATTAACAAACGTCAAGTCATTTGGCAGATATTTTTGTCCAAAATGATTTGCAAAACATTTATCACATGGACAATCATTCTGCAATAAAGGAATAATTCTAAAATGATACAATTCTGTCGTAATTTACTCATTCCAAAAACTTTATGCTGTTTTTTTTTTTGTATTCTGGGGAACTGTTTTTCAAGAAAGAAATGAGGATGTAAATAATGACAAAACCACTATGACTTCCATGAGTAAGTTTGAGATAAATGAATCAGAAAACTGACTGAAGCTAACGGTTGTTCTTCTGCTGTTTCTCCTCCAGGCCACACGGGGCGCTTGCTGATGTCTTTATGCTTCTGCAGTATGAGCTTCCTCTTCATCCACATCATCTATCAAATCACAATCCACAGTTTGCTGGCTGGAAACACCATTGATTCTGAGTTCAACTGTAAGTTACACTTCCTTCATCAAGGTTTCCTTAAAGGGATAGTTCACTTTGAAATTAATTTTGGTATGTTTTAGCTTACCTCAAGGACATCCAGGATGTAGGTGTCTTTGTTTTCGCAGTATTTTCAATTTTGATATTTTTAGGTCAAACCGTTCTTGTCTATCAGTCATATAATGGAGGTCTATGGTCACCACCTCAAAGAGCATGCACAGAGAAGTCCAAATTAAACATGAAACATTGAATGACTCGTAAATGTAAGTACACATTAATGGCCTGAGACACGAAACGAGCGGTTTGTGTGAGATAACGAACAGTATTTATATCAATTTGAAGCATGAACCCTTTAAGTTCATGCTCCATTATAAAGTGCCGTCAACTGATCATGTTATGTCAGTGTTGATGACTAGAAAGTTGTGCTAGTAGAATTATTACTATCTATGGCATAATTTGTTGAAAAATTTAATATTTGTATTTAATAAAATTTTATTTAATTTTATATTTAGATTTTTGGCCGTTCAATGATAAAATTACCATTATTTTGTGTTGTTATATTTTATTTTACGTCCAAGATGTCCATGTATTTTTTTTCTTCAGTCGAAAAGAAATTAAGGTTTTTGATGAAAACATTCCAGGATTTTTCTCCATATAATGGACTTCAATGGGAACCAAACAGTTCAAGGTCCAAATGAGAGTTTCAGTGCAGCTTCAAAGAACTTTAAACGACACCAGACGATGAATAAGGGTCTTATCTAGCGAAACGATCGCTCATTTAAATAAGACCCTTATTTATCGTCTGGTGTCGTTTAAAGTTTGAAGCTGCACTGAAACTCTCATTTGGACCTTGAACCGTTTGGACCCCATTGAAGTCCATTATATGGAGAAAAATCCTGGAATGTTTTCATCAAAAACCTCGACTGAAGAAAGACAGACATGGACATCTTGAATGACATGGGGGTGAGTACATTATCAGCAAAAGTTTTTTTTAAAGTGAACTAATCCTTAAATCAGCCTGAACGGGTGGTATTCGCTATAACAACCGCCTCGCTATACATTATCCCGCTTATTACATGGCTACCTACCAAATAAATCAATAATTTGATTCAAAATATTGATTTAAAAAGGAGTTTATTGATTGTATGGCTTCCGCTAAAGAAAATAGTCTGTTCCGTCTCTGAATTGCGTCCATGGCAACGCTCTGTTTTGCTTGGCAACGGTGTGTTACACTTATCAACAAATCACAGACCGCATTCTACATTGGAATTCCACCAAGTCATGTAATAATTTATAATATAAAAAAATACATTTCATTTTGAGTGACATGTGACCTGGACATTTTTGTGAAATTCACTCTTATGGCATATGACGGTTAAACCTTTTTAGGCCTCAGAGGTCCCAGACAATAAGCTTTATGGACGTGTGTGTGTGTGTGACTGTGAAACGGCTCTTTATGCTGCTGTATGCACCGTTTATGCTGGCTCAATTATTTTATTAATTTTTATTAATAATAAAAATTATTTTATTAATTATTTTGTAGTTATTTATTATTTTTATTTTGGTTGAATAAAAAAAATGGTTGATATATTGTTAAATAAATATAACAATATAGTCATATGGATAAAATTAATACAAGAATTTATTAATTATTAATATTATTCATTGTTTAAAAATATTTTATTATTTTTTTCTAGAATTATTTTGTAGTTATTTATTATTATTATTTTGGTTGAATAAAAAAAATGGTTGATATATTGTTAAATAACTGTTTAATAGCTTATCTTATCAAGTTAGGAACAGTTTTGAGCAAGAACCCAATCCTCCTTAGTCGTCCCGTCTTTCACACTGGGAATAAAGACCTCTTCTTCATTGTTGAAAGGAGGACTGACCTCTGACCTTCATCGCTCCACTGACCTCCTTCTGCTGACCATGCTTATTTTATCATTTTGCTGCCAGGTATGAATTGTGGACCAGTCGAATTAAGATGAACTGAGAATATTTTTCTCTGGCAGCCGGCAAAGGGGAACATTAGATCGAGATATAGACATTTATAACCTCCAAACCAGCTAAAAATGACCATTTATGCTGACTCAAGATCTGTTTTAGTGATGCTTTGGAAATTTTGTATGGAAAAAAAATTGAACTTTGAAAGAAATACCAAATTGTGAATAATTTACACTGTGTATCCCGCATGAATAGGGTTTCACAGGCCCAGTTTAATGCAATGTACAAGAAAAGTTGTGAGTGTGTCAAATCATGAAGATACGTTTCATCTATCTCGCCGCAAGCTTGACTTTAAATAACGGTGAGAGAGGATTATGGGAAATGTGCCACTTAGATTTGTCTTTACCCTCCAATTGTTCCCGTCTGAACTATGAAGACATTACTCACGTCCCGCTGAGACTGAAGACTATTTACTGGTTCTGGGAATTGAACAAAGCGCTTCACCTTTCGTTTATAACCCTTTTCAGAGTTGATGAGTAGACATTTTGTTTTATTTAGACACTTTCTGTATTAGACAACTTAATACAGTATGTCTGGGTGTCCATCATAATATAGAAAAACTCATATACAGTGTCGCATTTTCACGTGATTATCATTAGTCACAGTAATAATGGTGTTTCAAATGAATGTTGAGCGTGACGTTTGAAAGGTTTCTATCCTCCTTAATGACATCCATTTGTGTTGTAGAAATTGGGGATGTGTTTTGTTTTTCCTTTTCCTTCCTGAAAATAGATCCTCATAACATTCGCGTTCTTCCCAGTAGGTTTGTTGTCGGCGTTATATTGGTGTGAGTGTGATATTGAGTCCCGTCTGTAACAGTACTTCAGTCTCTAAGGCTGTTCAATACCTAATGACTCTCCTAATCTGCTAAGAAACACAGTCGGACGTATTGATTTGTGATTACTGTAAATAATACTGACACGTCCAAGTTGAGTTGACTTTACGGTTGTCAGACACAAGGGCTTATGTCAGCTGATGTGCACTGTCCCTTTTAAAATCAAATCAAATACACAATAAGCAATAGGCTCTACTACACTTTCAGAAAAAAAGGTACAAAAGCTGTCACTGGGGCTGTACCTTTTCAAAAGGTAAACTTTTGTCCCTTTTAGGTATGTACATTTCAGGTGCTAATATGTACATTTTAGGTGTTAATATGTAAATCTTAGGTGCTAATATGTACATTTTAGGTGCTAATATGTACATTTTTAAGTGTTAATATGTACATTTCAAGAGCTAACATGTCAATTTTAAATTTTAGGTGCTAATATGTGTTTATTAATTATTAATATTATATTAATATTATTAATTGTTAAAAAAATTATTGTATTAATTTTTATTAATAATAAAAATAATTTTATTAATTATTTTGTAGTTATTTATTATTATTATTTTGGTTGATATAATGGTTGATTATAAAATTAATACAATAATTTATGTATGTATTTATGTTTATTAATTATTAATATTAAATTAATATTATTAATTGTTTCAAAATTATTTTATTATTTTTCTAGAATTATTTTGTAGTTAATTATTATTATTATTATTATTATTATTATTATTTTGGTTGAATAATAAATGGTTGATATATTGTTAAATAAATATACCAATATAGTCATATGGATAAAATTAATACAAGAATTTATGTATGTATTTATGTTTATTAATTATTAATATTATATTAATATAATTAATTGTTTATAAATTATTTTATTAATTGTTCTAGAATTATTTTGTCGTTATTTATTATTATTATTTTGGTTGAATAAAAAATGGTTGATATATTGTTAAATAAATATAACAATATAGTCAAATGGAAAAAATTAATACAATGCATTTTGATGTATTTATGTTTATTGATTATTAATGTTATCAATTGATTAAATTATTTTATTAATTTTTCTAGAATAATTTTTAGTTATTTATTATTATTATTTTGGTTGAATAAAGAAATGGTTGATATGTTTAAAAAAATGCATTAATTATATCAATAGGACTATACTGGAATCAGTTTATGTATTTATTTATTTATATATTTTTGTTTTTATTTTTTACTTAACTTGGAAATCAGCTAAATAAGTTGAAGTGGAAAGAGTAACTGAAGTTAGAAGAGCATTTCTCCTTCAATACAGTGTCTAGGTGTGGTCACATTAATCATCATAGCCTCATTAACTCCCTCTTCCTCAAAGTAGTGCAGAGATGACCTTCAGTGACCCTGTCGCTTGATAAGGAAATTCACCGTGGCTCTTGTCGTTGTTTAATGACAGCCCTCGCCGCTGGTGGTTATCGCTGAATCTCTCTGTGCTTTCAAAGTCAGTGTGCTGGAAAACTCTATACAATGGCTAGTAAAGCTTTATCTTTTCTATTTCCCAGGTTCGGTGTGGGAGAAGTCAATACGACAGATTGGTTTTGAGAGGTGAGTCCAAGCGCTTGTTTTAATTGCCAGCCTATAAATTGCCTGAGAAACATTTTCATTTCATGCCTGTTTATCAAACTCTCACATTGCTGAAAGGTTTTTAATTGAAAATGTTTTTACTGCGTGAAGAGGAACCTTTTGGCCTGTCTTTTACAACTATTTTTTATAGCAGACACTAACCCTACAACAAGCACTACAAAAACATCCCAGATTATCGATTCAGTTTTTATTGAATGCTTTGAGGGGAAAAGAGAAGATATTGTGGATGGTACAGTCATTTTGTGTCATTGGTTATGTTAGGAATCATATGTACAGTATATGTATGTACATGTGTATGTATTATATATATATATTTTATATAGTATATGTATACAGTATATGTATAGTATATGTATATGTATACATATAGTATATGTATATGTAGTATATATATATATTTTATATGTATTTTACATGATATGTAAAATCAATGCAATGTTGCACATTATAAACAGTCAAATGCTACATTGTCACATTAACTCTTTATGTTACTTATCATATTAATCAAAATATAGTGCTTTACGGTATATTAACTTTTAACAAGTGCCTGGTTCATACTTCCTTCTGATTCATTTCTCACACTGAGGGAATTGATGGTAAATTATAATACTTTAATTTTAAAACATTGCTGTTTTAAATTACACTTTACAATATATTTACATAGAAAACAGTTATTTTAAATTGTAAAAATATTTCACTGTTTTTACTGTATTTTTAATCGAATAAATGAAGCCTTGGTGAGCATAAATGCACATTTCTTCAAACTTTTTACCAGTAATGTGAATCAAAATGCTAACAATAAAAAATGACCCATTTAAACATGAACATTTTGAGAGGTTCAGCCTAAAGCAACTGGTTTTCTGGCATGATTTACGGTAAGGATATCACTTGTTATCACTTGTTTGCAAATTCCCTTAAAAGCGTGTAATAAGGTTGCACACTCTACAGGGATGAGTTTTTAAGTGTTTTTAAGTACTTCAGCAAACAGAGACAGATAACATTACTCTCCACTTACACTGCGGCCAGATGTCTGCCGTCCACCAGCCGCTTCCATGAGGAACGCTAAACACAATTAAACCCGAACCCACTGTTGACAGCCCGATTCCTCAAAGCCTAGTACTCTGATGTGTGTGTTATCTGGTCTGATGTGTGTGTTATCTGGTCTGATGTTTGTGTGATCTGGTCTGATGTTTGTGTGATCTGGTCTGATGTTTGTGTGCTCTGGTCTGATGTTTGTGTGCTCTGGTCTGATGTTTGTGTGATCTGGTCTGATGTTTGTGTGCTCTGGTCTGATGTTTGTGTGATCTGGTCTGATGTTTGTGTGCTCTGGTCTGATGTTTGTGTTCTCTGGTCTGATGTTTGTGTGCTCTGGTCTGATGTTTGTGTGCTCTGGTCTGATGTTTGTGTGCTCTGGTCTGATGTTTGTGTGATCTGGTCTGATGTTTGTGTGCTCTGGTCTGATGTTTGTGTGCTCTGGTCTGATGTTTGTGTGATCTGGTCTGATGTTTGTGTGATCTGGTCTGATGTTTGTGTGCTCTGGTCTGATGTTTGTGTGCTCTGGTCTGATGTTTGTGTGCTCTGGTCTGATGTTTGTGTGATCTGGTCTGATGTTTGTGTGCTCTGGTCTGATGTTTGTGTGATCTGGTCTGATGTTTGTGTGATCTGGTCTGATGTTTGTGTGCTCTGGTCTGATGTTTGTGTTCTCTGGTCTGATGTTTGTGTGCTCTGGCCTGATGTTTGTGTGATCTGGTCTGATGTTTGTGTGCTCTGGCCTGATGTTTGTGTGATCTGGTCTGATGTTTGTGTGCTCTGGTCTGATGTTTGTGTGCTCTGGTCTGATGTTTGTGTGCTCTGGTCTGATGTTTGTGTGATCTGGTCTGATGTTTGTGTGATCTGGTCTGATGTTTGTGTGATCTGGTCTGATGTTTGTGTGCTCTGGTCTGATGTTTGTGTGATCTGGTCTGATGTTTGTGTGCTCTGGTCTGATGTTTGTGTGCTCTGGTCTGATGTTTGTGTGATCTGGTCTGATGTTTGTGTGCTCTGGTCTGATGTTTGTGTGCTCTGGTCTGATGTTTGTGTGATCTGGTCTGATGTTTGTGTGATCTGGTCTGATGTTTGTGTGATCTGGCCTGATGTTTGTGTGATCTGGCCTGATGTTTGTGTGCTCTGGTCTGATGTTTGTGTGATCTGGTCTGATGTTTGTGTGCTCTGGTCTGATGTTTGTGTGCTCTGGTCTGATGTTTGTGTGATCTGGTCTGATGTTTGTGTGCTCTGGTCTGATGTTTGTGTGATCTGGTCTGATGTTTGTGTGATCTGGTCTGATGTTTGTGTGATCTGGTCTGATGTTTGTGTGCTCTGGTCTGATGTTTGTGTGATCTGGTCTGATGTTTGTGTGCTCTGGTCTGATGTTTGTGTGATCTGGTCTGATGTTTGTGTGATCTGGTCTGATGTTTGTGTGATCTGGTCTGATGTTTGTGTGCTCTGGTCTGATGTTTGTGTGCTCTGGTCTGATGTTTGTGTGCTCTGGTCTGATGTTTGTGTGATCTGGCCTGATGTTTGTGTGATCTGGCCTGATGTTTGTGTGATCTGGTCTGATGTTTGTGTGATCTGGTCTGATGTTTGTGTGATCTGGTCTGATGTTTGTGTGCTCTGGTCTGATGTTTGTGTGATCTGGTCTGATGTTTGTGTGCTCTGGTCTGATGTTTGTGTGCTCTGGTCTGATGTTTGTGTGATCTGGTCTGATGTTTGTGTGCTCTGGTCTGATGTTTGTGTGCTCTGGTCTGATGTTTGTGTGATCTGGTCTGATGTTTGTGTGATCTGGTCTGATGTTTGTGTGATCTGGCCTGATGTTTGTGTGATCTGGCCTGATGTTTGTGTGCTCTGGTCTGATGTTTGTGTGATCTGGTCTGATGTTTGTGTGCTCTGGTCTGATGTTTGTGTGCTCTGGTCTGATGTTTGTGTGATCTGGTCTGATGTTTGTGTGCTCTGGTCTGATGTTTGTGTGCTCTGGCCTGATGTTTGTGTGATCTGGTCTGATGTTTGTGTGCTCTGGTCTGATGTTTGTGTGATCTGGTCTGATGTTTGTGTGATCTGGTCTGATGTTTGTGTGCTCTGGTCTGATGTTTGTGTGCTCTGGTCTGATGTTTGTGTGCTCTGGTCTGATGTTTGTGTGCTCTGGTCTGATGTTTGTGTGATCTGGTCTGATGTTTGTGTGATCTGGTCTGATGTTTGTGTGATCTGGTCTGATGTTTGTGTGATCTGGTCTGATGTTTGTGTGATCTGGTCTGATGTTTGTGTGCTCTGGTCTGATGTTTGTGTGATCTGGTCTGATGTTTGTGTGCTCTGGTCTGATGTTTGTGTGCTCTGGTCTGATGTTTGTGTGCTCTGGTCTGATGTTTGTGTGATCTGGTCTGATGTTTGTGTGCTCTGGTCTGATGTTTGTGTGCTCTGGCCTGATGTTTGTGTGATCTGGCCTGATGTTTGTGTGATCTGGCCTGATGTTTGTGTGATCTGGCCTGATGTTTGTGTGATCTGGTCTGATGTTTGTGTGATCTGGTCTGATGTTTGTGTGATCTGGTCTGATGTTTGTGTGATCTGGTCTGATGTTTGTGTGATCTGGTCTGATGTTTGTGTGATCTGGTCTGATGTTTGTGTGATCTGGTCTGATGTTTGTGTGATCTGGTCTGATGTTTGTGTGCTCTGGTCTGATGTTTGTGTGCTCTGGCCTGATGTTTGTGTGATCTGGTCTGATGTTTGTGTGATCTGGTCTGATGTTTGTGTGCTCTGGTCTGATGTTTGTGTGCTCTGGTCTGATGTTTGTGTGCTCTGGTCTGATGTTTGTGTGCTCTGGTCTGATGTTTGTGTGCTCTGGTCTGATGTTTGTGTGCTCTGGTCTGATGTTTGTGTGATCTGGTCTGATGTTTGTGTGATCTGGTCTGATGTTTGTGTGATCTGGTCTGATGTTTGTGTGATCTGGTCTGATGTTTGTGTGATCTGGTCTGATGTTTGTGTGATCTGGCTTGACTGTGATTCTATTAAGTGTGGTTTTCTGAGTGCGGGAATCTCGACCTGCACCTTTTTCCAAGCAGCGCTGGTCGGATGGCTCAATTCTTCATAAGTGGCCGGAAGTTCAGCTGTAAACTGTTTATACTCCTAAGTCCTAAGTGACCTGTTAGTGTAGCGAAGGCATTTATCTGTGGCATAACGGCCCGCTGATGTCAATCACATGAGCGCAATGCATGGAGTTGATGCAGGAATAAGTTGTGAAGTGGATGTTTGGGATCTGAAATTCATTGTTACAAGCAACATTTTTGGTGAAAGAGGCTCTTTTGCTGTTCCGGGTCTTTTGCTGATAATTTACTCACCCCCATGTCATCCAAGATGTCCATGTCTTTCTTTCTTCGGTCGAAAAGAAATTAAGGTTTTTGATGAAAACATTCCAGGATTTTTCTCCATATAATGGACTTCAATGGGGTCCAAACGGTTCAAGGTCCAAATGAGTTTCAGTGCAGCTTCAAAGGGCTTTAAACGACACCAGACGATGAATAAGGGTCTAAAGAAGCGAAACGATTGCTTATTTAATAAATAAATAACAAAGTTTAAGTTTCATAAGCTCAAATGCTCGCCTTGCTTTGTTCTGTGACCCACATTTCTGACTTTCCTGATCGAACTCGTTCATCAAAATTTTTCAGAGTAATTTGGTTCATTCAACGAACGAAACGAACTAATTGACTCGGAAAAAGATTCGTTCATTTTGATGAATGAGTTCGAACAGGGGAGTCACGAACGCGCATCAGAGAACAGAGCAAGGCCATTTCAGCTTATAAAATGTCAACTTTTGTATTTATTTTTGAAATGACTGATTGATAAGACCCTTATTCGTCGTCTGGTGTCGTTTAATGCCCTTTAAACAGTTTGCATTTTGTGCTGAAACTGTCTTTTGGACCTTGAACTGTTTGGACCCCATTGAAGTCCATTATATGGAAAAAAAATCCTGGAATGTTTTCATCAAAAACCTTATTTTCTTTTCGACCGAAGAAAGAAAGACATGGACATCTTGGATGACATGGGGGTGAGTAAATTATCAGCAAAAGTTTTTTTAAAAGTGAACTACTCCTTTAAAGGTTCACATAATGATTATTCATAATGCGTTTTGTGTGTGTGTGTGTCAAATGTGACATCTGTCAAAAATATACAGCTCTAAGATAATACAAATCATGGTGTTAATTTAGGCAGAAACAAACAGCTCATTAAGTAATTTATCACAAGTTTAATTTGAGTCTGGAATGAAAAAAAAATTGACTTTAGATGAAATAAAGTGCTAAAATTAAATCTAGGCTTTTGATTTTTTGTAAATTGAATGTTTGAATCCCAATGACTTTTGTTTTTTAATTGATACACTGGTAAGGTTGGTGCGAATACTTTAAATAGGCTTTTTACTCAAACCGGCTGTATCAAACACATCTTGTGATGTCTAGTTTTAAGTCATGCATCTGTTGTATTTGTAGATGCATGTATAATAAATGTTTTAGTGTTCTTTTTTAACTGGAAGGCTCTATATTGTATAAGCACATCAATCATTCCATACATCTGAGGTTATTGTATTCACCATATGTTCCCCTTTAGGGCTTAATAATGGCACGAATAATGATTCATTGTCTAAATGACGGTGAAACTGATTTGAAACCTGTTCAGACTGAATCGACACTTAGAGAAAGACTTAATTTCACTGTTGTGTGAGTTTCAGAAGAACCCAGTATGTGTTTTATGAGAAATATTTATACTCTTTTAATATGGTGCAAGGCAGATTTTATTGAACTGGGTGGGGAAGCATATAAACGGCGGATTCTAGCACACAACAGATGTGTAAGAAGCTCAAACTGGAAAATGTTTGGAAAAACGGCATTCTCACAAATGTTTTCCGCCTCTCGCAGATGGCGTGTGGTTTAATGGGAATTCTGGTGACGGTGGTTTGTTCGCTATAGTCACGATTACCTGTAACAGATTCGTGTGAATGTGGGAGCATTCGTTAAAAAAAGATGCATGTTGCATAATGATAAATATACATTAAAAGAAGGCTTTACAGTGTCCACCACAGTAAATTGTGCATAATTACATGCAACCAAATCCTAATCATACCCTAACCGTATAGTAATACATGTAGTTAATTAACATTACTCAGTATTTAAAGATATAATTACACTGTAACAATGACACCTTCAAATAAAGTGTAACCGAAGGCTATGTGACTGTACTGTGTGTTAATCTGTTCTCTCTCTCTCTCTGTGTGTGTGTGTGTGTAGTGTTATCGGTGCTGATGCAGGCAATGGTATCCGAGTTTTCCTCCCAGATATCGGGATGTTCATGGCGAGCCTGTCCGTGTGGCTGCTGTGCCGGAAACTGGTTCGCACGCGTCCGAGTGAGGACATGGCCCAGGACAACCACGACTTCGAGCCTGAGGAGAAGGTGCGTCAGAGTTACCGCATGAGGACTTCTACACACACAGAGAACATGTGCTCTCCAGACACCAGTTTAGCTGTCACATCTGCTGATGGGTTTACTGGGCTGCAGTCTGACGCATTTCAAACACAATGATCATGGATCTTACTTTCCTTTCCAGCACTGATGGATAGGCCTGCGTTTATACACACATGATTTTTATTTAAACAAATATCATGTATATTATATATTAATAATAATACTAATAATAATTGGTCTGTTTTATTTAACTCAACTCTATCTGCTGAGTTACTTAATAATACTGTATTGTTAAAGGGATAGTTCGCTTTGAAATTAATGTTTGGTATGTTTTATCTTACCTCGAGGGCATCCAAGATGTAGGTGTCTGTGTTTCCGCATTAGTTTCAGTTTTGATATTTTTAGGTCAAACCGTTCTTGTCTGTCAGTCATATAATGGAGGTCTATGGTCACCACCTCAAAATTAAACATGATTTAATGACTCGCAAATGTAAGTACACATTGATGGCCTAAGACACGAAACGAGCGGTTTGTGTGAGAAAACGAACAGTATTTATATAGTTTTTACCTCTTGAAGCCACGTCCAAGTGATCTGAGGCCGCGGGCGCTTCGGTCTGCGCAAGCGTCGGAAAGCGCCGGAAGTGATCTCTTGCACGGTTGCGTAAAAAAATCAACGTTGTCTGTTATTATATCGAAATCATCTTCCATTACTATTTCCTGTATATCTAAATATGTTTAGATTTTCACAGTGAAGGGAACACTTCTGAAATCACTGTGTAAACAATGAGTGACATACACACGCGAGACATCACTTCCAGCACTTGTGCAGACCGAAGCGCCCTCACCTTCAGATCACTTGGACGTGGCTGTGGTTTCAAGAGGTAAAAACGCTATAAATACTGTTCGTTTTCTCACACAAACCGCTCGTTTCGTGTCTTAGGCCATCAATGTGTACTTACATTTACAAGTCATTAAATCATGTTTAATTTGGACTTCTCTGTGCATGCTCTTTGAGGTGGTGACCATAGACCTCCATTATATGACTGATAGATAGTTATATAATGCAGTCATATATATTTTTTTTATTTGCAACAGTGACTGTACATGATGCCTTACATGATTATGATTGGATGAATTAAAGTTTGCATGCCGTGCCAGCCGGCAGCAGAAGTCTTGTTAAAGAACTTTACTGTGTGAAATCCCATAATCACATTTTCTTTTTAATCCCTCCCCAGTAAAAACTTTCCAAATTTTTGTTTTCCCAGAGAAAATCTTACAAAACTCACTGTTTTATGAGAGCAACATGTTTATGTGATGGGACGAGGAAAGGCAAGTTGTTAGAATAGACTTGTAAAGCAGATCGTAAGTAGATTCTAGATCAGTGGTTCCCAAACTTTTTATAGTGGCTCTGAGGCATTCAACATCCTTCTGCTTATCCCCTCTCTCCATCCCTCCCTTCATCCACCTATCTATTCATCCATCCATCCATCGATCATCCATCAGTCCACCTATCCATTAATCCATCCATTCATTCATCCATCCATCTATCCACCTATCCATTCATCCATCCACCTATCCACCTATCCATTCATCCATCCACCTATCCATTCATCCATCCACCTATCCATTCATCCATCCACCTATCCACCTATCCATTCATCCATCCACCTATCCATTCATCCATCCACCTATCCATTCATCCATCCACCTATCCACCTATCCATTCATCCATCCACCTATCCATTCATCCTTCCATCTATCCACCTATCCATTCATCCATCCACCTATCCACCTATCCATTCATCCTTCCATCTATCCACCTATCCATTCATCCATCCACCTATCCACCTATCCATTCATCCTTCCACCTATCCACCTATCCATTCATCCATCCACCTATCCATTCATCCATCCACCTATCCATTCATCCTTCCATCTATCCACCTATCCATTCATCCATCCACCTATCCACCTATCCATTCATCCTTCCATCTATCCACCTATCCATTCATCCATCCACCTATCCACCTATCCATTCATCCATCCACCTATCCATTCATCCATCCACCTATCCACCTATCCATTCATCCATCCATCTATCCATTCATCCATCCACCTATCCACCTATCCATTCATCCATCCACCTATCCATTCATCCATCCACCTATCCATTCATCCATCCACCTATCCACCTATCCATTCATCCATCCACCTATCCACCTATCCATTCATCCATCCACCTATCCATTCATCCATCCATCTATCCATTCATCCATCCACCTATCCATTCATCCATCCATCTATCCATTCATCCATCCACCTATCCACCTATCCATTCATCCATCCACCTATCCATTCATCCTTCCATCTATCCACCTATCCATTCATCCATCCACCTATCCACCTATCCATTCATCCTTCCATCTATCCACCTATCCATTCATCCATCCACCTATCCACCTATCCATTCATCCTTCCACCTATCCACCTATCCATTCATCCATCCACCTATCCATTCATCCTTCCATCTATCCACCTATCCATTCATCCATCCACCTATCCACCTATCCATTCATCCTTCCATCTATCCACCTATCCATTCATCCATCCACCTATCCACCTATCCATTCATCCATCCACCTATCCATTCATCCATCCACCTATCCACCTATCCATTCATCCATCCATCTATCCATTCATCCATCCACCTATCCACCTATCCATTCATCCATCCACCTATCCATTCATCCATCCACCTATCCATTCATCCATCCACCTATCCACCTATCCATTCATCCATCCACCTATCCATTCATCCATCCACCTATCCACCTATCCATTCATCCATCCACCTATCCATTCATCCATCCATCTATCCATTCATCCATCCACCTATCCATTCATCCATCCATCTATCCATTCATCCATCCACCTATCCACCTATCCATTCATCCATCCACCTATCCATTCATCCATCCACCTATCCATTCATCCATCCACCTATCCACCTATCCATTCATCCATCCACCTATCCATTCATCCATCCACCTATCCATTCATCCATCCACCTATCCATTCATCCATCCATCTATCCATTCATCCATCCATCTATCCATTCATCCATCCACCTATCCACCTATCCATTCATCCATCCACCTATCCATTCATCCATCCACCTATCCATTCATCCATCCACCTATCCACCTATCCATTCATCCATCCACCTATCCATTCATCCATCCACCTATCCATTCATCCATCCATCTATCCATTCATCCATCCACCTATCCACCTATCCATTCATCCATCCACCTATCCATTCATCCATCCACCTATCCACCTATCCATTCATCCATCCACCTATCCACCTATCCATTCATCCATCCACCTATCCATCCATCTATCCACCTATCCATTCATCCATCCATCTATCCACCTAGCCATTCATCCATCCATCTTTCCACCTATCCATTCATCCATCCATCTATCCACCTATCCATCCATCTATCCACCTATCCATCCATCCATCCACCTATCCACCTATCCATTCATCCATCCATCTATCCATTCATCCATCCATCTATCCACCTATCCATTCATCCATCCATCTATCCACCTATCCATTCATCCATCCATCTATCCACCTATCCATTCATCCATCCATCTATCCACCTATCCATCCATCCATCCATCCATCCACCTATCCATCCATCCATCCATCCATCCATCCATCCATCCATCCATCCATCCACCTATCCATTCATCCATCCATCTATCCATTCATCCATCCATCTATCCACCTATCCATTCATCCATCCATCTATCCACCTATCCATTCATCCATCCACCTATCCATTCATCCATCCATCTATCATCCATCCACTTATCCATTCATCCATCCATCTATCATCCATCCACCTATCCATTCATCCATCCATTCAGCCATGCATCCACCCATCATCCATCCACCCATCCATCCATCCATCCATCATCCATCCACTTATTCATTTATCCATCCATCCACTTATTCATCCCATCCATCCATTCATCCATCATCCCACCACCGATCCATCCATTCATCCATCCATCCATCCATCATTCATCCATCATCCCACCACGTATCCTTCCATTCATCAATAGGAGACATAAATGAAGTAAGAAACTTAAGAGTGGAGGTTTAAAGAATTGCTTCATGCTGTAGCTAAACGTTTACGGGTGTTCAGCAGTATGTGCTACTGTGAGCAGGAAGAAGTTTCCTGTGCTGAAGGCCATACATATGGAGTCAGTAAAGCTAAATGGGCCTTATTGTTTATTTGTGAATCTGTGTGTGAGATCAGTTAATCTAAACCAGATTCATCAGCACTTAAACAGACAAATGTTCTCCAAATGGACTACTATGCCACTTACTCCATACCGTTTAGTACTAATATTATATCTAGCATGTCAGACTGTATATGATAAACATTTAAAAAATTATTTTTGCACTGTCAATTTGTTCGTTCATCCCAGATTTGTCTTTGGAAAAAAGGTAGCTGGTGGTGCGAACAATATTCATTCATACATTTCTCAATTAAGTTCACACTGATTGCTTGGCTTGTATAATGCAGATTTTGATAGATGTTGTAGGTCGTATGTGTTTGTAATTTATACAGTATATGCATGATTCTTGTTTTCTCTGATCAGACACTGGAGGAGATTGACGAAAAGGTGGAAAATGACGACGATTATGATGATGAAGATGACGAAATGGTGTTTGATGAGGACTTTGATGCAGAGGATGAGGCAGAGGAAGAGGAGTGTGATGAAGAAGGTTTGGATGAGGAAGAGGAGGAGGAAGAGGTGCAGGAGAGCACAAAGATGAAGATTCTGCGCAGAGTGGCAGGACTGGCAAATAAACTCAAAGAGATCATCGGTAACCTCATCACAACCGCTGGACAAGTGGTGGTCACCATTCTCCTGGGATTAACAGGTGTGGACAGGCGATATTTGAACCTTTCAGAAGTTCAAACCTGAATCTTCAGCATCATTACTCATACAATCTTAGGTGTCACATGATCCTTCAGAAATTAGAGATGCACCGGTTACAATTTTCCAGGCCGATTTCGATTTTCATTGAGTTTGCCTACTCCTTTAAGATTATTATTGATAATAATAATCCTAAAGGAGTAGTTCACTTTAAAAAAAAAAACTTTTGCTGATAATTTACTCACCCCCATGTCATCCAAGATGTCCATGTCTTTCTTTCTTCAGTCGAAAAGAAATTAAGGTTTTTGATGAAAACAATATAATGGACTTCAATGGGGTCCAAACGGTTCAGGGTCCAAATGAGAGTTTCAGTGCAGCTTCAAAAGGCTTTAAACGACACCAGACGATGAATAAGGGTCTTATCAAGCGAAACCATCGGTCATTTCAAAAATAAATTAACATCTTTAAGTTTTATAAGCACAAATGCTCACCTTGCTCTGTTTATGTTACTCTCATGTTCGTCAAAATGAACGAATCTTTTTTCAAGTCATTTGGTTCGTTCAACGAACAAAATGACTCGAAAAAAGATTTGTTAATTTTGACCGATCGTGTCGCTAGATAAGACCCTTATTCATCATCTGGTGTCTTTTAAAGCCTTTTGAAGCTGCACTGAAACTCTCATTTGGACCTTGAACCGTTTGGACCCCATTGAAGTCCATTATCCTGGAATCTTTTCATCAAAAACCTTAATTTCTTTTCGACCGAAGAAAGAAAGACATGGACATCTTGGATGACATGGGGGTGAGTAAATTATCAGCAAATTATCATCTTTATTGAAATTCTCTAATCTCCCATAAGCCAACAGTCAGTCTAAACCGGTCCGTGTTCTGGTCTCCAGGTATCATGCTGCCCTCCCTGACGTCAGCCGTCTACTTCTTCGTGTTCTTGGGTCTGTGCACGTGGTGGTCGCTCTGCAAGACCTTCGACAAGCTCCTCTTCAGCTGTCTGTGTGTCCTCATGGCCATCTTCAGCGCTGGTCATCTCATCGTTCTTTATTCCAACCAGTTCCAGTTCCTCCAGGAGGCCATCAGGCCCAACGACAGCTACGTCAGGTCAGAGGCGTACTGCATAATGTTCTGTACTAATATAATATCTAGTATGTCAGACGGGTACAGTATATATCATGCAATGATAAAAACATATTTTGCACTGTCAGTTGTTTGTTCATCCAGATTTGTCTTTGGAGAAATGGCCACTGAGGGTCAGAGACTTGCATAAAACTCAGAAGTCTAGATTTGATTTTTGCGCTCTACTAGAATAGTTTTTCATGCTTGAATATTCCCTATATTCTCCATTGTTGCAGCTCATCTCTTCCCAGTCTGTCAGTAACGCTCTGTTTAGTTCCTGTCTCAATGAAGCCCCTCCTTCTGAAAAGCACACTGCGCTCTGATTGGTCGGCTGGAGTGTGTTGTGATTGGTCAATCGTAAATGTCACGCCTCTTCCCATAAACACGAGTTTCAACACACTATAACTAACTCAACCATGCCCCGCCCCTTTATTCTGCTTATTAATTATTTAAATGAGGAATATTGAGGCGTGTTCGTTCCCGTAAGAAACTCAAGACTACAGTGGAGGCGTTTTATAATCACTGAAGAACTCCCACTGTATCTTCGCTGATCATTTTAATGCGAATGCTTTTTAAAACGGCAACATTTCAAACAATAGATGAACATGTAACAAAGCACAAAAGGTCCTCTTTAATTATTTATAAATCAGTGGACTTTGAATGCCAGTAATGCCATATAATGTGTCATATATGCATATTAATCTGTACCTGCAGCATACTGTAAATAATGAATGAGTGTTTAAAAACTGATCATGGCCTGCAGCGAAACAGCCTTATCCTGTGTGTGGGCTTTGATAGACAGATGAGAGATCCCGTATCCCGTCTGTTATCGCATGTTCTGACAAAGGCCAGTCCACAAAAGACCTGCAGACGAACTGTAGAGTCAAATAAATGTGCACGCTAAAAAATGCTGGGTTGTTTCAACCCAACATTTGGGTCAAATGTGAAAAAAAACACAAATGTTGGGTTAAAAATGTACAGTTGAAAGTTGGGTTAAAATTTTAAATGACATTTTTAACCCAGCATTTGGGTTGAAACAACCCAGCATTGTTTAGAGTGTAGCTTCATAAACGCATATCAGCTGAATGTTGTGTGTGTGTATGCCAAAGGAATCACTCGTTTGTTCTTTTACAATCATTTCTGTGATCAGTTGATAACCCTCCTGAAATAGATCCAGCATTTTTATGATGCAATTTACAAGACATTTTTATAATGTTAAATTATGCATTAATTCCATATTTTTGTGTTAATTATTGTAGCGTAGACGTTGCTATACTTACAATGCCCTGGACTAGTCTGATAAGCATGACAATCCATAGCACATACAAATACTGGGTAATATAGTATATTTTTAATTAGACTGGACACTTTTTTGGGCATTTAATGATGTGTTAAAATTGAATTAAAAATGAAAATCGCTTACTTATTCCTGCCATTTTGGATATAGTTTGTTCACTGAACACGTAAAAATCATAATATTTCTAACATTATAAATGTCTTTACTGCCAATTTGATGCATCATTGCTGAATAAAATAAATCATTTAATTTTTCTTACTGACTCCAAACTTTTAAAAAGTATTGTAAAAAACAATTAATGATAATTCTGAAATCAGCACATTTAAATAGTTTTCTGTGAAGAAAAGTCTGCTACTGTATGTAAAACCAACTGAAATTAAATTAAATGAAATGTTTTAACCCAAATCTGGGTCAAATATGGACAAACCGAAATGTTGGGTTAAAATTGTAATTTCAAATTTGAACCCAATTTCAACTGTACATTTTTTAATTGCATTTTTAACCCAACATATGGGTTTGTCCATATTTGACGCAAATTTGGGTTGAAACAACCCAGCATTTTTTAGAGTGTATGAATGAATGAAAAAATAAATATTAATTACTTTAAAAACCTTGATTTTTTTTTATTGTAAAAAAAAATCATCCTCTTTATTAAAAAAAACATAATAATTTGAATAATGTATTATTATTATTTTTCATAATGCAAAATAATCCTAATCCCCGCATTTTCTCATTATTGTAATAGAAAAAAACCCTCAATGTTTTTACTGTAATAAAAATAAAGGCAGTAGAATAAATGTACTTTATAATTTGAATTATATATATATATATATATATATATATATATATAATCGCAATGCAAAAAATGTATGAAAAAATTCAAAATATTTGCTTTATCAGTGAAAATTGAATACAAGCGTAATAATAGTGTGATTTCTCCCTGAACTTCAGATGCGATAGAGCCGGCTCTGCATGCCTGCGACGCCTTAAAATCCTGCAACAAACACACCTCTGCTGTTTATTTTAGCGCTAGCTGTCCTTCACCGGATATTCCCGTGCGTGTTCAGCGTAAAGCTCCGGGTTATGAAGCGTTTATGATCTGCAGGTGCCGACGGATCTCTCGCGTCCTTGACGCCCAGCATCAGTGAAGCCATTAGCTCTATGTATAGCCTTGTTTAACATATTATTTGCTCTAATGGTCGAGTGTGAAGAAAGTGTGTTACTGATGTGTTTCTCTGAGTGATTTCAAATCAATTCAATGTTAAACGCAGCTTTTAAGGTTCGCATTGCGGTCGTGATGGCGAGGTTAATTAAGACGACTCAAACTGAAGTTAGAAGTGCATTGTGGTCAGATAAACTCATTAAACTCACACACACTCTTAGTTATCCGCCTGTTTTACCGATTTCCCTGGGATTCATAAATAGTAATATATCTCTCTCATTTTCTGTGGAAGCAGCCCTGTATGTGTGTGTGTGTGTGTGTGTGGTTGGAAAAGACTGTGGACTAATTGTAGTTGATGAAAGATCTGCGTGACTGTTGAATGAGAGTGTTGACAGCCTTTTCTATTGACATCACTTCCTGTTTTTCCCTTACAGTGGGCCGTGGTCATGTGATCATCCCGTAATGAAAACACTAACAGTTGAATGTGTTTCTCCACAGTGTGTTTGGTATCTCCTCCATCGTGCGAACCGACTGCTCCTCTACCTGGAAGCTCGCTGTCAACCATAATCTGCAATGGCACCATTTTGTCAATCCCATCATGCTCTTGGTCCTGTACTACACACTGGCCACCCTGATCCGCCTGTGGCTGCAGGACCCTATGATCATGGTGAGCCTAATGCCACTTTAAAATCCAAATCTATTTGTCTTGTAAAGTGAAAATTATTTTTTTATTAAATTAATAAATAAAAAATTAATTTTTATATATATTTTTCTGGCAAAAAAAATAAATAAATAGATTTTTCACTTATTTTTCAGTTAAAAAAATAGATTTTTAAAAGCAAAAAAGCTTTTCTTGTTTTTAGCATAAATAATGTTAATTACTTACCACATAAATAACATACTTTTTCAACATAAATAGACAAACATCTAAAGTTACAAAAGTTTTGGAAGCAAGTTTTAATATTTTACATGAAACACCATTATTGCAGAGCACATTTGTTCTGATGATAAATGTCATGTTTGTCTTGTTTTAATTACATTTTTTATTGCATTTTAATACACTATGAAATGGATTTTTAATAATTTAGGGATTTTCCAAAAGACTAACAATATGAAAAGTTACACTGAAGAAACGGGGACAAATCAAATCTATAAAAGGATTTACTGACCAATTAAAAGAATATTCCCAATTATGTCAATTAGATAAAGAAAAAAAAAAATCAATCTCTTAATAAAAAAATCAGAAAATGTCTAAATAATTATTATCAGAAAATCGAAATCTATTTATCTTATTAAGTGAAAAAAATAGGTTCTGATATTTTAAGATGTAGTGAAATATTTAAAATATTGTTTTGGTAATATAGAAATAATTTAAATATATTTACTGCCAAAAAAAATAGATTTGTCTCTTATTTTCCAGTTAAAAATATATATTTTTAAAAGCAAAAAGCTTTTTCTTGTTTTTGATCATAAATAATGTTAATTACTTACTTATTTAAAGTAAACTTATTTATTGAAAATAAAATTTTGATTTTAAAAGTTTTTGAACATAACATTGAACATTTACTGACCAATTAAAAGAATATTCCCAATTATGTCAATTAGATAAAGCAAAAGATCAATTTCTTAATAAATAAATCAGAAAATGTCTAAATAAATATTATCAGAAAGCTTTTTTTATTTGTTTTAAACATAAACCTCACTAACTTTTTAGATTTATGCTTAAATTTAAGTTTTAATATTGTGCACAAATTTTCTTTATTGCAGAGCAACTTTCCTGTTCATATGTTGTGTTCTGATTATTAACGTCATGTTCGTCTTGATGCTTTTTTAATCTACTTAAATACATAAAGAAATTGATTTTAATAGTTCAGGGATTTTATAAAAGATTTTAAAAAATTATTTACTGACCTTTATTCCTTTAGATAAAGCAAAAAAATATCAAGAAATACCCATAACATTTCTTAATAAATAACCCAGATTTTTTCTAAATAAATATTAGAAAATTATATTATGCTTAAAAAAATCCAATGAAGAAAAACAATCTTATTTGAAAATAACTTTAATTTTTTTACACACTCAGAGGGTTCAGATGATGATCATTTATGATTTCATGCTTTTAAATGCACTTTAATAGACATAAAAAATAGATTTTAAAATATTTTTTGACAAATCTTTAAAATGATTGATCATTATTAGATAAAGCAACAAAAAAAAAATAATCCAGAAATAGTATTAGCCAGCTGTGTGTGTTATATTCTGCTGTTTGATATATGAATATATGAAGAGTTCAGATGCAAAAGCCTCTAAATGCCATTTGAAATTTTCTTCTTTAATTATGATTTTTATCAAACTTGTATATTTAAGTTCAGTAATTTCACTTCAATGGCAATGATAATTACCTATTAATTGTTATTTAAGTGAAATTACTGAACTTAAATATACAAGTTTGATAAAAATCATCATTAAAGAAGAAAATTTCAAATGGCATTTAGAGGCTTTTGCATCTGAACTCTTCATATGTTAATAATGCACTGATGGGTTTGATCATCTGTGACGCTGCGCTTCAGGGTTTATAGAGCTTACACACATGCATGAGCTTATTGATTCATGCGCCTCTAGGTTTGATTACAACATAAATCTATCGATGTGATCGATAAAGAATCATAAGCGCCGTTACGATGAAATGAGCAGTGCATTAAACATGTTTATCATCTTCATTGTTTTCATTCGTGAGCGTCTCCACAACACGTACTTTAATTTTATTCATGCTACTCCGTGAATGTGTTTATTGGTGTGTCTCCAGCAGGAGAGTGAGGAAGAGGAGGTGGAGGAAGGAGATGTGACGGCTGGAAACACAGTTCTTCAGATGTTGGGCCGGAAGCGGCTGCTCTGGTGGAAAGCGCATCAGAAAACTGAGGAAAGAAATGTGAGGAACTCTTATACAGTGAACAATAGAAGTTTGAATTAAACATGCACATAATGAGCTCATGTGACAGCAATAGTAAAAACCTAGTATTGCTTTCCGAGTTCATATTTAGTCTAGTTGTCTTAAAGGAGTAGTTCACTTTAAAAAAAAACTTTTGCTGATAATTTACTCACCCCCATGTCATCCAAGATGTCCATGTCTGTCTTTCTTCAGTCGAAAAGAAATGAAGGTTTTTGATGAAAACATTCCAGGATTTTCTCCATATAATGGACTTCAATGGGGTCCAAACGGTTCAAGGTCCAAATGAGAGTTTCAGTGCAGCTTCAAAGGGCTTTAAACGACACCAGACGATGAATAAGGGTCTTATCAAGCGAAACGATCACTCATTTAAAAAATAAATACAAAAGTTTAAGTTTTATAAGCACAAATGCTCTGTTCTGTGATGCGCGTTCGTGACTCTCGTGTTCGAACTCGTTCATCAAAATGAACAAATCTTTTTTCGATTCATTTGGTTCAACGAACGAAATGATTCGAAAAAAGATTCGTTAATTTTGATGAACGAGTTTAAATCTTTTTTTCGAGTCGAACGAATTGAACGAAATATC